GTAGGAAACATGAACTATGGCTGTTGCTGTTACTACTATTCATTGTGCTTCTGTGCTTAGTGATCATATAAGAAGCAGCGTAGCAAGTCTTTGATAAGAAATGCATATAAACATATATATATATACTGTCGGTTTGAGAAGTGCGTGACAAGCTAGATAGTCAGGCAAACTTATTTTCTTTGCAGCCTTCTACATTACTGTCTTTCGTCATTGCAACTCAAGAAACCAAAATGAACTAGATCAGTTTTAAGATTATTATCTATATTAGTTTATTTATTTTTCACTCCTTTAACGAGTCGTATAATCGATTGCTATAGTTATTTTTATGATGATTAGCAAAAACTTTTTTTTTTTTCACATTTAATTTTTTTTTTAATAGCTCAGCTTCGTGGCAGGAAATAGTTTGATAAGAAAATTAAAAAAGAAAGTCTGATTGCGTCTAGCATTTGTTTTTTCTTCTTATGATTAGAGGCTATAAGAATCAGCAAAAAAAGAACGAACAAAAGGAAAAAACTCACTCAAATTTTTTTTTTTATTATAGTGTCATGTTGGCATTTTAATATTGCTGTCATGATGTTCATTTTACTTTTTTTGTTTCTAAATAAAATATTCTTTAGTGAAACATAAGAATCATTCTAATCTTACAAAAATGTGTTGCCGAGTCTAGAATATATGTGTAGTTGTGACAGGAATCATATTCAATAGTTCTATTTGTTTCAGTATTAAGATAGAAATGTCAAGATGTTTTTATGCTATTAAATGTTTAATGCAAATTGGATGTTCATAAGTTTTATATGGAATAATAAAATGATGGCTTTTATAATATTATTGAAAGTCTAACATATCTTAGTTTAAGATAGTAGAATAAGTTAAGAAAAGACGTGATCAATAACAAAACAGAGCGACATACAGAAAAAAAACATTCTTTTGCTTTTTTGTTGGTATAGAAATGCTTAAGGAAACTGATGATTGAATAAAAACAACTAGACATTTATGTATAGAACTTCAGATTATTAATATAACCAAACAAACTTTATTTTCCCATTATTTTTAAGTACCCGATTTGACTATTCAAGGTAATCAATTTTTAGATATGATATTCATTTGCTCTTTAGAGTTACTTAGACAAACTTTTACATCATAGTGTCACAGTGCAAATGGTTTTACTTACCTATGTGTTTTACTCGCCTATCTATTTTTACTCAACCACCGAAAGATATTCTCAGTAGTTTCTTTTTTTACTCAGAACTTATAACAAGATAAGATATAATTCATCATTTGATTAAATATAAGTTTCCTACAACGTTGTTCTTACGTTCTAAAAACTCATCATATTATTAACGTGATATATATTTCTAGTTCTCATTACGTATGCACCAATGGGAGGAGGTCCATCATCTTCCAGTGGTTCATCATCGCCTTCACCAGGTGGTATACCAAGTGAATGTTATAAACAAGCTCGTGAAGAATTCGATAATCGATATTTAACACCAGCTACATTTCAATTAGTCTATCGTGATTTTCAAGTAATTCGACCACTTGGACGTGGTGCATTTGGTTCTGTTAAAGAAGTTACATGTATACATGATCCATTACCAGATTATCTTCAACGAACGAATACCAGTGATCCAACAGGAATATCTCATCGTATTGCACTTAAAATTATAAATAAAAAAAGTGCACATAAAATGAAACAAGAAGAACATGTTGTTAATGAAAAACGAATATTACAAGCAATAAATTTTCCATTTATCATTCGTTTTTATTTTTCATTTAAAGACAATGCTAATCTTTATATTGGTCTTGAATTAATTGAAGGTGGAGAATTATTTCGACATTTACGTGATTCAGAACGATTTGATGAGAAAAAAGCCAAATTTTATGCATCTCAAATTATTCTCGCTCTTGAATACCTACATTTATTGGGTATTGTTTATCGTGATCTCAAAGTATAAATTTTTTAATTGTTTGTTTTTTTTTTCAAAATTTGTAAGTTTTTTCTTATTTATTTCAGCCGGAAAATTTGCTCATCGATCGTTATGGTTACATTAAAATGTGTGATTTTGGTAACATTAGATCTTTTATTTTTTCTTTAAAAATTAAAGCTTGTATGTTCTTTAGGATTTGCTAAAAAAATCGATCGCGGAAAAGCATATACTCTATGTGGCACACCTGAATTTCTTGCACCTGAAATTATCCTTGGTCGTGGTTACAATATGGGAGGTATAAGAAAATAACCAACAAAGACTTCTTGATATCTAACTAGGATTTTTTTTTTGCTTCTAGTTGATTATTGGGCATTGGGTGTTTTGATATTTGAAATGAATGCTGGCTATTCTCCATTTTGGGTATAGATTTTCTTAATTGATTTATTTTATTAAATTTCTATTATTTTTTTTTCTGTTAGGATTCTGATCAACAAAAAATTTATCATAAAATTATCAATGCTAAATTTCGACCTCGTTCATCTTTCACAGACCATTTAATTGATCTAACACGTGGTTTATTACAAAAAGATTTAACAAAAAGACTTGGTATGATGTTTAATGGTGTAAATGATATTAAAAAACATGCTTGGTTTCGTGATATCGATTGGTTACAGATATTTTTAAAAAAAATTCGTGCACCTTGGATACCAGATATTCGTGCAAATAACTTTCCTGATGCTGAAGATGAAGAACCTGATCGCTCATCGATCAATTTATTTGAAACAGAATTTAACGATTTTTAAACAACAGTATTCCTCATATTTATTTATTTATATTATATTTTTTTGTTCGCTTGTCGTTTTCTTTCTTTTTTATTGTCTATTAATGTGCGTGTATGTGTCTAAATTGAAATGTCTTTCTCTGTATTTTTTTGTCTCTCACTTATTTACTTTCTTTAATCAATTATAGAACATCCGGCGCCAGGATCTGGATGTAAGAAAAGATATTTTTTTTATCTTTTACTTGATTAATTAATGATGATTGATATTGACAAGAGATCGTTGAATCGATTAAAAACAACTAATTCGATTAGTCACAACCAAATGATATTACCGTAGGTGACAAATTATATTTTTCAATACAAAAGAATTGACTTTCTTAATTTGATTATCTCATGACGTCCAAATGTGGCATAAATAATAGAAGTCTACATCACATAGAAACAAAACAAAAAAAATATTCTATACCCAAATAATGTAAATTTTGACGAGTTGATGGTTATTCTCAACGTAAAACAGAAACTGCAATTTTCTAACGAATGAGTTTCATGAGAAATAGAATTTAGTCGAAAAATTAAGATTCTATAACATGATAGATTTTCTTTTATACAAGATATAAAGGATGAACTAGAAATTCTGACGCATACTGTATCACAAATCTTATTGTATCATTATCTTTATAGAGAAGAAGTAAAATAAATGTACTCTTCAAAATAACTATATATGGATTCTTCTAGCTCATTGAGTAAGAAAGTTATTAGTTCAGAGAAGTATCTATTATATTTAAAAGCAAATTAGCTCTTAAAATTTTAATGATTAAAAATGAAATGATCAATTAAATTTAATTCTCATTTGAAAACCACATTATAATTGTTGTATGATGGATGAAATATCTAATACATTAACTAGATATAATCGTTGTCGCACAGTAATTTTGTTTTAAAAACGAAAGAATCTTACCTATAGGAAGTAATTAACATTTCCGGTGAACTACATTCTTATAAAAGTACTTCTCTTTTATATCGAGAATCATTAAAACTGAAAATAATTCGAATACCAAAACGAAGATCGATTAGGATATGGCACACTATGAACTCTAAAAACAGAACGGTTTACGATCGTAGCTAAAAACTTATTGCATTAAGCTTATTATCTACATGGAATTTTTTCCCTTCAGAAAAAAAACAGAATCAACACACGACCAGTATTTTATACAGCGTGGGAACTGAGAGGGCGGCACATCTCCAAAAATCAATTTGAACTTCCCAGGGTTTGAAATTACCTGTTTGAAAGAAAAAAATCTGAATAAAACATTATGTACGATAACGGTTATATTTAGTCAACTTATTAGATATTGAACTTATCATAAAAACGATTTCAAAGTAGTTTCAAAATGTAAATTGATTATTTGAGTGACAGTTGGTTCCCCATTTCATTTTTGATCATTATAATATTAATATTTAATTTCTTTTTAAATATGATAGACATTTCTAGATTAATAACTTTCTTACTGAAAGAATTTCAGGGAGGTAGAAGGTTTTGTGTAACCATTTCACTTGAACACTCTGAATCAGACGGACACTCATTACTACCTTGGTTTGAATTGTGAAACATAACGATTGTTATCTTTATATTTATTTTTAAAACAATAGTATAATGAAAAGCACAAGTAAACATGAGTGTCTACATGTTTTACAAGTACTCATTGCACTTTTCTAAGTGTTTGCTAAGCTCACAAGGGAATTACTTTAAGTGACACCTGCCATTTTAGATCATATTGAACCCTCAGGCAGGTCTCAATAAGACTAACAAAAGTTTGACAGATTTTGTTTCTGTAGACTTTTGTCATCAATTTGTGATTGATTTAGTAGATTTTCGATTCATCTACAAATAGCTCACAGAAAAAAAATCAAATAATAGAATTTCAACTTAGAATTTTGCCTATAGATAGTTCGACTGTCTCTCAGAATATCCGGAAGGTTTCAGCCAAAAACAATGTTCCTTCATCAATACATAGGATTTCTTAAAACAGCCCTTTGCCACAAGAATCGAGTTTATTTGAAAATTCAATAAGTCGACAAAGGAATATTTTTTTCGATTGAAACTTTCAGGATATTGTAAGACATATTAGAGCTATCCATAGATAAAATATTGAGTCAAAACTCTATTGTTCAACGTTTTAGGAAAATCCTAAATATCGGTCATCGCTCGGCGCTGAAGGCCGATGGGAACAAATTTTATTGAGCTTTTATTTTCTAATTAAGAACTGCCTGTGGATTCAATATGAGCACGAATGGCAGGTATCACTCGCGGTAATGCTGTCGTCAGATTACAAAAACAAATCTGAAGACAAAAAGAGCAATCTAACTTGCAAAAACCAATAGAAATGTTTCTTGTAAATAGTTTTAATTTAATTTCATATATAATTAAGCTATCAAACATCTCATGTATCAATATTTATTAATAGTATAAAAAAAAATTCATTGTCTTCGTTAACAAAAAAGAAACTTCCACATAAAAGTCTATCATCAATCTACAATAAATCCATAATCAATGAAAATATTCGAATTTCGCAACACAATGAATCATTGATTTCAAATTCTTCTATAAGTAAAACAGGAACAACATCATTTAATAAAGATTTTAATAAACAAATAAGTATTTATTCTAATGATCATCCTGATTCATCATCAAGTATTGAAAATCTAACGATTGAATTTCGACAACGCACTCAATTAACTTATTTACTTTCATCGGATTTTGTTCAATCATCAGCTAATTTTATCTATCCAAATCTTAGAATTATTTCTTCTGGTTATTTTTTTCATCGAAATACTCATACGGATAAAAATTCCATATACATATATTCAAATACATTCATTTCAAATAAAACTGTACCATTAATTTTTCTTGGTAAATAAATTTTTATGTTGTCTTTTTCTTTTTCTCAAAAAAACTATTTCATAAAATAGGAAGTGAATATTTTTTACGTAAATCAATAAATTTTGAACATTTAAAATTTCCACTTTCAACAAATGAAAATATTGAACCATTAGTTGATCTGTTTATAAATCGTCCACAATTTATAAGAGAAATTCCTGAATTAAATGATTTATCAAATTATATTTTTTTACCAAAATCAATATCAGCTTTATTATTTTTTGATTCATCATCAAATCAATCTGCACGTCATTTATGTTATGAATTACGTACAAAAGAAAATCATAATAAATTTACAATAAAAGATTTATTATATATGTCACAACGTGAAAATAATATTATACAAATGAATGCATTAAATGATAAACGATATCATGAATTTAAAAATCAATTAACAGATATTTATTATTATGAAAATTCTTTATCATCATCAGAACAAAAACAAACGAAATTAAATTTTTTAGAAAAAACAACAAAAATAAAATCATCTAATCTTCGTCCTTCATTACATAAACATTCACGAATAAAAACTCGTCCAACAATTGTAACTTCGATATTATCTTAAAATAAATAATATTAAATTTTTTTTGTCTTCAGAAGTTAATATATTTGTTTAAGATCAATAGAATTTTTTCGTCGTACTAGGAATGTAATATTTAATATATTTTATTTAGTGTGATAAAATGGCATGCATTTCCTTATCTTTCGATTTTTTCTTTCTAATCCACTTATATTATATGTTGTTATAAAAGGGTAAATGTTGATTTACAGATTGTTTTTCTTTTTGTACATATATATATGTTAATCTTTCGTCTTGTTAAATTCCTTGTGTTTATGTAAAAATGATGATATCAAATGCATTATATTCAGGTGAGTGACTTCTTTAGATTAAAATCAGCTTTTACTTTCTTACAGATATTGTTTATGATAATGTTAAAAAAGTAAATATTGAATGCTCTTAAATATTTTATATATGATGCATAGATTGATTAGAGATTATTTTGTGATTAACAATGTCGAGTGATTTAGCTCTCGTAATGACTATGATTTAGTTAGGATGACTATTTGTATATTGACAACTTCTTGGGTTTTTTTGGTTACGGTCGATGAGAATTGCTATTACAGTCTAGCTCACATAGTATAAAAAAAGATAAAAAATTGATAATAGCATGATGTATAATTAGAAAAAAGAGCTTTATCTTTTTCTTACAAATAAGTTTAACTTGCGAATAAATGCATTTTTAACATAAATCGAAGAATTAAAGTATAAATTATCATTCAAAATAATTTCTATGAAGTTGTGTTATTGTTTAAATGTATACAAAATCTATGTACATGATTATGATGTGATAGTATTTTAATCAATTCTTTATCTGTATATCTAAGAGCGTTAAAATAAATCTTAAACTATATGTAAAATATGCCTTAGAAATTCTGAAACCTAAGCAGACAAACATTTTCAAAAACGCGTCTAAACGTATAAAAAAGGACTTAAAATCCATAAAAAGAGGATGTGTTTGGCTCACAATCGCGGTTCCTGACGGTCAGCGAAAAACGACCACTTTTTGCCCTTTTTGTGCGTTTAAATGCGTTTTCAGCAAAAACACGCTTGTAAACTCGTATAAACGCATAAAAAGTAGTTATCTTTTTCCTTTTCGTGAACTGTGATTGTAATTATGATTGTGATTTATAAATATGAAAAGGTGACAATTTTTTATGATCGTCTTATGCGTTTACGGGCGTTTATCACCGTTTTTGTGCTAAAAACGTGTTTAAACGCACAAAAAGGGCAAAAAGTGGTCGTTTTTCGCTGACAGTCGGAAACCGCGATTGTGAGCCAAACATGTCCACTTGTTATGGATTTTAAGCCCATTTTTATACGTTTAAACGCGTTTTTGAAAATGTTTGTCTGCTTGGGAATGATTTCAAAACTTTGTTATTCTTGCATTCAACAAAAAACAAATTCTTTTTCAGTTTTGACAAATTATTGCGCTTTCTTAGTATTAAATAACTACAAAGTTTCAGGTCTATAACATTTACTACATTTAAGAAATTGTAATAACATTGAAGATGTGTAGGGTAAACTTTTTCAAATTCGATACTAGAAATCTTCTTCAATCTATTTCTTTGAATTCTAATTTAATTATTATCATTAATGAATAAAAGTCTGAATATCTATATTTATTATTTTACTCTATTTCATACTTTTTCTTAGTCATTTTGCTTTATTACTTATATTAAATACTCAATAAATTTCGAAATATTTGATTTTTGTCCTTGTTTAAGATATACATATATTTATTCTTTAGCAAAGAAAGATGAATTTTATGATACTTTGTACTATGATAAAAATGAAATGAAATTCATAATAATATTTCTCTGACGTCTTCGATAAGACTCTGTTGACATACTGACACAGAGAGTTAGTTGTGTTTTTTTTTGTTGCTTCGTTTTATTTGAGAGAAGACAATGCCTATATCAAGTGAGAATGATTCTTTTGTTATAACTACTAATATGAATTTTATTTAATTTTTTTTTTTTAAGTAAAAAAATTATGTTGTGATGTTCTGACCGACACATTTTTCACTTATTCAACGGTCAAAGTAGTTCAAGTACCAAATACATTTATTGCAATTGTTTATCGTATAATTCAATTCATTATTATTGGTTATATAGCAATGTAAAAAGAAAATGCATTTTTTTTTTGGCAAAAGAAAACGAAGATAATTGTAAAACTTTTAATTGTTTTAGTTATATTGTTTGGATTAAAAAAGGATATCAACAATTTCAAGAACCACGTGGAACAAGTGTAATTAAAGTAAAAGGAATTGCTAAAGTAACAGGCAATGACACAACAGAATTCATGCGTATGTTACAAAAAAAAAACTAAACGAATTTGCATGAAAAAATAAATAAATTTTTCATAATTAAGGAACAGCGTCAACACATTTATGGGATACAGCTGAATATCAAGTGCCTCCACTTGTATGTTGATTTAGTTATTTTTTCGTATTAATATTAATTTTCTATTAGGAAAATAATGCACTTTTTATTGCTACACGAGAAACAGTCACTTACGGTCAAACAGAGGGTTACTGCCCTAGTGTATGTAAAAGAAAATATTTTATTACACTGAAAATCTTGATTGTTTTTGGTACATAGGCATTAAACGAGAAATTATTTTGTGATAACTCAACATTGTATTTATGTCCAGAAGGTGAACCAATACCAAGTACATTTGGTGAGTAGATTTCATCTGCTAATGTAATGTTATCAATAGAGATACATGTTCAGGTTATTTTACGGGAAAGTGTGTACCAAGTTTGGAGAATGCTTCTATAGGCGTTTGTCAAATAAATGCTTGGTGTCCTGAAGAACTTTCAAAATCAACGTAAGAAGAAACTTTTTTTGTTCTAATAAAATTTTCTAAAATTTAGTGTTTTATTTATTTAAGTGAATTAATAATGGATAGTAGTGATTTGGAAAATTTTACAATTTATTTAAAAACATTGGTGACATTTACATTGTTCAATATCAATTTGTTTGTTTTGATTATACTTTGAAATCATAAAAATTCCTTTTTTTTTTTTTTTTTTTTTGTTTTTTTTTAGGAGAAATGTTCGTAATGATACGAATTTTACATGTCGATATCATAAAGTTAATGATCCACGCTGTCCTATTATTCGTATTGGTGATATTCTTGATAGTCTTAATACAAATAAAGCAGCTCTTCTACTTGAAGTAAATCTTATTTAACTAAACATTAAATTGAAATAAAAATTCTAATTACATATTTTATGATATAGGGTGGTTTAATTGAAATTCGTCAAGATTGGACATGTAATTTTGATTTTCATAGAGAGCATTGTTTTCCAAAACTTGAATTTAGTGTATTACAAAGTGGTGACGATAGACAATCTCCTGGTATTAACTATCGGTAAGAGTAGAAAAAAAGAAAGTACTAAAAAAAGAAATTCTTTTTTTTTTAATTTTACATAGACAAGCTCAAAAATATCATATAAATGGCACAGATTATCGAACATTATCAAAAATCTATGGATTACGTTTTGTTGTTTCTATATCAGGAAAAGGTGGACAATTTAATATAGTTGATTTATTTGTTGCTATTGGTATATATATTAAATTAATTTTTATATTTATTTAAATATAAATATTGTTTCTTTTTTATTTTATTATTAAAGGTTCTGGTATTGGTTTTATGGTTATAGCTGATATTTTATGTGATGCAATATTTATGTATTTTCATAAATATCGAGAACGATATCGTGAAGGAAAATTTAGTGTATGCGTAATGTCTTCAACCAGAGCTAATTCAAATGAACATTTAGTATGTGCATAGGTTTGTAAGCTAATGAACATAAAAATCATTAATTTTTTTTATTTTTTAGAATCACATACAGTCGACTCGAAAAGATAGAAGATCGTCATTACAAGAAACTTTTTAAAGATAATATAATGAAATCTTTTTTTCTATTTTATTTTGTTTTTGTTTTTATTAATTATTTTATGAAATAAAATAAAGTGATATTTGATAACAAAAAAAAAATAATAATCGTTCGATAATATATTTATTTGTAACTATTAATCATGTTTATCTATATTTTTCGAGTATTATATTGAAAATCTTTTTTTCATATATACAAAATAAAAAAAAATAGAATAATAATTATTAATATAAAGTGTGTTTGTTTTTTCTTTTTATGTACAAAATAATTTCAAAAAAAAAAGTTTCTTTTGTTTTTGTTTAATTATCGTCTGTTCATCAAACGTAAATATGCTGGATCAAATATATTTTGATTATTTTTTGATGATAAATTATTCATTGATAAATTATTAAGAGCTGTACGTAATGCATCAGCATCAATGATTAATACTGATGATAAATCAAGACTGTTATTATTATTATCACATTGATGATGATGACGACGACGATTACGTACTTCTTGTTGTTTGAAGTTAATTTCATTTGTTGATTTTCTTGTATGTGCTAAACGAAGATCAATTAATGTTTGAATAACATCTTCAATACATATTCCAGTATCCAAACTAAATAAAGAAATTGATTATTTATTTTTCATTTTCTTTTTAAAAATAAATAAATAAACCTAAGTTGTGTAACAGTAACATGCATTTGTAAACGACGATATTCATCAAGTTTTGATAAGATTGTTGAATGCCAATAACTTTTATATGTCATTTGACCAAGTTTTGATAATGGTTTCTCTGGTGAACCTGTTTTTTTCTCCAATTTGGTTAATTCATAACCTAAAAACCTTGTATAATGATAAATCTTTCGAAAATAAAAAAAAAAAAAAAAGAAATTCTTACTTAATGCAATTAAAAACCGACCAAAACCTTGTCGTTGACGATGCGGTAATACCTAATAAAAGAAATCTAATCAATCGAACTAACTATTTAGTTGTTTCTTTTTTTTTTACCATTAAACATGCTAAATTATAAAATTCATCACTAAGTTTTTCCTAGAAAAATTTATAAAGAAATAAATTTTTATTTAAAAAAATTAAAGTAAAATAGATAATGTGTACTTTTGAAAAATACCCAATTAGATGCTGAACATTTTTCATTCGTTTATCGGATTCAACAAGAACATAAAAAAGAAATGGATTAACATCAAAATAAATTGTTTTTCGCTCTAGAAATAGTTTCGCTAATAAACAAAGACATTGACAATAAAGCTAATAATAAAAGAAACAATAAACTATAATGAACTATATAAATTATATTCTAATCTACTTGTGATGCAGTTCCATCAACTTCATATATAGATAGACCATCTGGATGTTCATAGATTTTACGACCGGGTGGATGCCGTCGATTACATTCATTCTAAAAAATTCATATTTAATAAAAAAAAAAAAAACTTTCTATTAACAAGTTCATGAACGGATATTAATTTTACATGTTTCTATTAAGGAGTATCAGATTAGCATTAGTATTATAATAATACTAATTCTTTAGACAGTAGTATTAAAATTAAATCTAACACATTGATGTTATTTACATTAGAATTAATTAATGCCAACGGGTGAGTATTATAGTAGCATTATTTGTAATTCTAATACATTACTACCTGTGGCTGATCCTCTCAGAATCTTATGTTTGAACATTTCTAATAACACAACAAAAGTGTTCATTTTCAGGAATCTGCAAGCTTAGAATATCCGAGATCTAATCATCGGTAGTCTATATCTTAACATTACAAATAATGCTAATTTAATATCTACACATTAGAATTAATTAATTCGAATACGATATGCTTAAATCCTTTGTCAACTGATCATTGTCCTCTATAAAATTCTAAATAATTTTTCTTTTTTACCATGTGTTGTCGATATTTTTTATTATTGAGAAAATATCGTAAACAATATTCACAAATATATAATTTTTCAATACTACGATCTTTTTCATTTGAACCATCTTCTACATCAATATATGGTGAATGAAACCAACAATCAATATCAACTTGACCTAATCGAATTGATGAAATATGTTTTATATTATTTGGAACCTATTAAAATAACAAAATATAATATTTAAATATAAATAAAAAAGACAAACAACATCATACATCAAGTTGTTCATCATCACTCATTGAATCATCATCAGCCATTATTGAAACGATCTAAAACATATTTAATAACATTTTCTATTTGTTCCCCTGATAAGCAAAAAACAAAAACAATATAGTATTGCAAACAAAATCGTTTTACAATAATATTCGATAAAATAGCACCCTTTGATTAATTTTTGATATAAGAGGAAAAAAAAAAAGTTTTGTGTTATCACAAATGAAAAAGTTCATTCTAAAAACAAAGAAATTCATCAATGAGATTGCACGAAGAAAAACAAAACAAAACAGAAAGTCAAAAAAATTTAAAATTCATCTTTGCTTGTTTTTGTATTTCGTTGTTCAACTTGTAATGTCGGTATAGTATTTGTTGTAGAATATTTCATTCGTTTTGCTGAACGATATGCCGGATGTTCTTTAACATATTTAACCATGTTACGTACAATACGAGCAAATTCATATTTATCAAATGCATAATTTGTAAATTTTTTATGTGGTGTTCCTAATGTTGGATGTTTTCCTTCATCTTGTGGATAAACTTTAGCATTATTTTCCCATGTAAAATATTTAACACCACGAAGACGAGCTAAATCTAAATAACAATCTCGATCTTCACAATTATATATTTCAAAAACAGCTGCCCAATCTGGTAAGAAAAGTAAATGAGTTAAACCAGCACCATGCATTCCTAAATGAAAATAAATAAAATATATTTCAATTGTTTACATTTGAAAAAAAAATGAAACAACTGCTTGTGAATTCAAATTTTAATTAATATTATTAAATCAAAATGAGCAATCAATTAAGCATAGAAATGTTTTTAAAAGATGTTAACTAAGAAATGAGGTGAAATTATTGTGTGATCGATATGTCGAACAGTTCGATGAACAAATTACATGCATAACACAATCAAAAAATACTCTTTTTGATATACTAACGGAGAAGAGAACATCGCTAATAGATAACATGCTTTTGAGATGATTCTTAACTCGATACGTAAGACCTATTGAAATTCAAGAAAGCCTTAGAAAAAAAAACTCGTATGCACGAATCGTTTCCCGTAAGTTCTCACTATTTAGTACGAAAGTTGAACGGTCGAGCTCTTAGAAAATCGAGTTGGTCTTTCGTGAGTTTTTGGTTCCCATTCTATACATTATGGGTCTGTGTTTCAAAAAAACGATGTTCACTCTCACAAAGTGTCAAATTTCTTCTCTGGTAGAGAAAATTTAGAGAGAACATTGTTGAAGTTTATATTTTTCACAATCGAATTTTCAATATTGGCATCTACGTATAGGAGATATTGGCCTAGTTTATATTTGCACAATGAATTGTTTTTATTGAAAAACGAATTGATACAAAATTTCAATTCGAGAGTCAATAAGACGTTACAAAAATGACCATAACTAAAGAAAAACGACGTATGAATTGAAACCATTTTTGTAATATTTCCTTGAATCTCAATAGAATCTATCTAATGAATGATAAGAATATGCTGGACTAGTGCCTCTTTAAAAACTTGATTAGCTCTTTCGGAGTTTATGACTATTATAGCACGTACTAATTATCTATGTTCTCCAAAACAGTTGTTCAGCCTCTTGAAGTTGTAAACCGCTCCTCCGAAAGAAGAAATCTGGCTAAAACACTGTGCGAAGCTAGCATGTTTTTTGTTTTTGTCTCAGTAAGTCCAATGGAATTCCGATGTAGAGAAAACTATTTCAGAATTTATTCATATCACATCTAAAACATATTCTTCAACATTTGTTTTTTTTTTAATTTATTTAGCCAAAAACAAGGATAAGATAATTCGCTTAAAACCATAGAATACGTGACTATCATCTTTAGTTCCGGTCTCTCACATCTCTAGATAAGACTCATCTCAATAATGAATTATTATTTGATAGAGTTCTCTCGTCAGATTTACCTTTGAATTCTTACAAAAAATGTCATATTATTATGTAACTTATCATCTCAAATTAGTACATTCATTGTAAATCACAAATATATACTCAACAATTGATAGGATACTTTTTTTTTTTTCTTTCAAGAAGTGTCTAAAATAAAATATATTGATATACTAATTTTCATTGATTTAAAAAAACAAAAAGTCTTATCAAAAGAAAAGAAACATACCCATAAAAATATCTGTATTATGTGTAATATTAAGTTGTTCAATAAATGGTATATTAATATTATAATCGACAACATTAATTAAATAATCATTATTTTCATTCATTGAAACATTTCTTAAATGTTGAATAATTTCATCAGCATTTAAAATCTGTCGAAATTGTGTTGTACGATTTAATAATGTTATTCGAATTTGATTTGATTTTAATGGACCTAATTGTGGTATATGAAGACGATGAATAATATATTGTTGAAATGAATGAAATAAACTTGTTTGTGTACAACCCGGTATAAGTGGCATATTATAATAAAAACCTTTAAAAAAAAGAAAAAATAATGTGCATTCGAAACAAAAAATTTTAACACTCTAATTTCTATTTTTACATCATCGAAAAGATCTCATCGAGTTCTATTCAATCATGTAAAAATATTAGAATATGAAAATTTTTGTACATGTTTTATTTTTAAGAATTTTTTATTTTAATATCATCTTACCATAAAACATTCGAGCAAGAAATGAAAAAATAACATTTTGAAAACATACACGTTTTCCTTCAAATTCTCTTATATGTATAAGACGATTTGATGTGAATGCATTCCATGTATGTGAAAAAAAACTCCAATAATCATTTTTACTTGTATCCCATAAAATAATTTGTATATCTTTTGTAAATGTATTATTCATATGTTGTGATATATATAAATTAATAAAATCACAAAAATGATGATACATATTATATCCACTATCAAGTTTAATAAATATTGTTGGTTTAGTTATATATAAATCACAATTAAATGAATTTGTATCATTAATTTCAATAAATACTTGTAATTCTGAAAACCAACTTTGTAATGGACTTTTATGATCACCATTTTTAATTAAATCATTACGATTTAATTTACAATTACCACCAATATCACCATATTTAAGTATATCTTCACGATAACGATCTTGATGTTTAGATGTTTCAATATGTTGAAAATCTATATAAATATTATTAGCTCGACAAAAACGTAAATGATCAACACATTCAAGTGATGGTGAACAATATTCTCTTAATTCATTACGTTTTTCTGTAATATAACCAAAATCAGCTGTTCGCCAAAATTCATAGATTTGTTTTTCTTTTGTTGTTGTCCAACCTCGACTATCATCTGGACATTGAATAAATGTTGCATTATTTTTACAATTTGGTTCATAACCCCAACAAGCTATATCAGATGATGGAAGATTTTTTGCTTGTTCATAATAAGGACATTTATCTTTATCAAGAAGACATTGATTATGTAAGGAAGGATTATTTGTAAAGAAATAAATTGAATGTTCAATTGGAATATCTAGTTCAGACCAATTATAAGTATCACCAAAAGAGAAGAAAAGGAATGATAAAAAAAAGATGATTAACATCTAGAAGAGACAGGAAACAGGGAGAGACAAATCATGTTGAAGTTATTTTATTTTCTAAATAACAAACAAAAAAAAGAAAATGTTATTCCGATTTTTCTGATGATGGTAAAACTCGTCGTAATGTTCGATCATAGAAAAGAAAACGTTGTGATTGACTACTACCTTTAAATTCAAGTTTATCGACGTGCCAACTGAAAAGAGAAAAAAAAAAAAGAGAATATCAATTTATTTCAGTAAAATATTCGATCATATAATTGCAATAAAGCAAATACTTTTCTATATCGAAATATTTATACTCATTGTGAATATCATCAAAGAAGGTTAATCGATTCTTAATCATCGTTTAAAGAGTCATCGTATTTCGATACCATGAAAAAAAAAAGTATTTGCTTTGTACTTATGAATTATTGAATGGCGATCTTTTTTTTTTTTTTTGTTAATACAGTAAAACCTCTCTAATGTCGGACTGACTAATACTGCTCACTTTTTTTGGCTGCATAATATTATGTGCTTTCTTCATTTCAACAATTAATTAATTCAACCTTTTTTTTTAATCATAGGTAATCAACTTATTTTGAATTGTTGTTTAAGTATCTACAACTAATCCATTTCCTTGCTCGTATGTGTACCTCATGATTGTTTATCATAACGCAATAGATATCATATCCATTTTTTTCTTGTTCTAAATGTTAAAGATAGAACGTATATACAGAGATTATTATTACTTAGGAGCTTAGAAATAAGGGCTCACAAGAAAATCTTTCTAAATATACTGAGATAGTGTAGCATGATACCATGATTTCATATAGAAAAATTGAGTTTTGAATTTTGATTTAACAACTTATATAGAGACACACTTTAATTAATCAAAATAGTCTATTGTAAAAGTTTCAGATCTTTTGTTTATTTCTATTCTAAAATACGGCTATGATAAAATCATGTTTTTTTTCATGTTGCCTATATACACAACGGTAAAGTTCCATGTTCTTATTTCAGAATCGACTCAATAAAAAAAAATCTAAAACTTGAACAACAACGTATTCTTGTGAAAGTTTTCAAATGAAAACTCAGTTTTTTTGAAGAAACAGCAGTAATAAGTTATTAGTCTGAATCCTTTTCAGAATATTCATAATTCATCAGAAACTACATGATAGAAATAGTACTGACTCAAAATAATGATTTGACATTTTGCAACGTTCTCATCAATATAAGGAGTTTTTACTATATTTGAATTCTTAATTTAAAATCAAATGACTTACTCATCATCTACTGAATCTCTTGTAGCATAACAATAAATAATTCCGGCACGTTCAGCACCTCGGACAGGTATTTCAACCTAAATAATATCATTTGTTTTTGCATAAAAAAAAAGTAACAAAGAGTGAATTTCTTTTTTTTTTAATCCGGTCTTTTTTTTTTATTTAACAATGCAAAAAAAAAACAATGAGAGTATTTCATGTATTGGTATTGCTCGTAGACGGTTGTCGTCGATGTTTTAAACGTTCTTTACTCTTTGTTACTACTGGTTCATATTCAATTTCAAGTGAACGTTTCTTTGATAGTGGAAGTGATTTAATAATTTCTTCTTCATCACCCATATCTTCCATATCTTCAGCATCACTTTCATCAAAATCCTCAACATATTCAATTTCTTCTTCACTTTCTTGTTCTTTTTCATCTTCATCTTCTTCTTCTTTTTCTTCATCACTTTCCACTTCATCATCTTCTTCATCCACTATAACACAATTTAAATAGATATTTAACAAAAAAAAAAAAAAATTTAATTCTTACTTGAAATTGCATTAACTGGAAATGTATATGTATCTCCATAAGTTCCTTTTTTTAATCTTTCAAGTAATTCATTTTCAATAGAACGATCAATATTAGCAGCAACAAATGCTTTTTCTTCATGACGACGTTCACGTCTTTCAGCTTTCTTTTTTATTGGTACTAATTCTTGTTTAGCAGTTTTTTTTAACATTAAACGACGTGTACGAATAATATATTGTGTTAATTTTGTTAAACGTTGTTTACATTTATGTCTAATAAAACGTGGCCAATAAATTAAATGTTCATTTATTTGTTTTAATGCACGAAGATAATTTTCATGTAATTTAACTTTTTCCCATTGTTTTTTTGGATAATGTGAACGTTCAACAACTTTCATATAAAGATATAAAATACCTTTTTCTTCACGTACAGTTGCATATTGTGAATTAGCTAATGGACATGAACGACGATCACATAAACCAGTTACATTATATTCATTTGAACAGAATAATTGAGTTTTTGATTTTTGTTGTTTATATGAACAAAATTGTCCATTGAGAACAGACCAGATAACATCATCATGTTGCATATTTGTTTTAAAGAGATTTTAGATATTTTATCTAGAATATAGGAATGACTCAGTTCTTCGAACTTTTTATTGAGTCTTATTAATTTTATATATATTTTTATTTCATAATAAAAAATAAAAAATAAAAGTAAACAAATTAATTTTAATAATAAACTTACTTGTGCTCCAAGTGGACCAAGAATATTAAATTTACTTGTTGTATCAATTTGAAGTGGTTGAATGGGTTCAACAAGTTTTTCAATTATTGGTTTATAACCAGATGTTAATTCAAGTGCTTGTTTATAAAATGATTGTTCAAGAAAAAGATCTATAAACATTTGAATAGAAAAATTCAATATAAAAGAAGAAGAAAAAAAAAATCAAGAAATAAATACTTCGTGCTTTTTGTCGCGCACGAATATGAGCATAATAAACAGCACTTGAACCAGCAAGACCAATAAGTGATGCAACAAATACAAGTGGATGACCCCAACGAGATTGTTTTACTTTTGGTATAGGAATTTTTATATTCGAAGACATCTAAAATTGAAATTAAAACTTAAATGATCATTTTGTATAGATTTTGATGAAGTTACAATTTGAATTATTAATTATAAATTATGTTTGTCATAACATCATGAAAATGTTTTAATAATTATTCGATAGATTGAGACGACAGCGCTATGCTTTCTTAAAAAATCTTATTGGACAGAAATGTTCATTAGCCTTCACAAATCATATACAAAAACGTTTTATATGCGGTTTTTAACGCCATCTTTCATGGAACAAATGGTTTTTTTGATAAATATATTCAAGTTTCAAGAGCTTGTAAAACGATCAGAGATATTCATTGCGACTAAATAAAATAGTTGCTACTGTTATGATGGTATTCATATAATGTTTTGAATTTGATTGTCATAATTGTATTGGATTAGAACTATGATTACCAATCTATGAGATTCTTCTAGTCTCAATATGTTAGATTTGTGATTATGTACACTCCGTGCACGTTATACAGTTTTGAAATGTTCTTCAGAGAGAAAGCTACTGCCATGGTGACGTAGTAGCGAAGGCAAGGGGTGAGCTCGCATTATCCTGAGAGATTTTAAAAGATATGTTAAAGTAACTCTTTCCGTAGATTAGAATGGACTGATGAGAGAATTTATTAAGGTGTCAAACTGCTTTGCGATCAAGACGATGTACATTTGATGAGTGCTAGACAGTAATAGAAGAGCGAAGAGTGGTTTGTTTTTTTCGGACATTCGTTTTTGAGATATCAACAAAAAGTTGTGGCTCTCCTCAAGTCACGTGAAAAATCAATTTTCGAGTTTTAACTTCAAACTCTGCAAGAGCTAAGTTCTTAATAAAATTAGTTAATTGTACAAGTTATAGCTTTTCTATTGTTTCCTTTTTGGAGATGTAAATATATGGACAAAATATACTTTTATACACAAGAGAATTTCAAGTATTGAATACGTCAAGATAAGAGATACTAGAAAAATTTATAACGTGCTTCACGAACTAATCTCGTTGAGAACTTTGTTCGTGTAAATTTTGAAGGCAAAACTCTCACGTGACCTGAGAGAAATTATACCTTTTCATTGAAAAGCCTCGTAAAATTTTGATATTCTCAGAATGAAAGCTTAGAAAATCAAACCATTTCAGATTTTCCTGTTACTTACTGATGTGTATCGAATACGCATCATTATTGCTGAAAAGCGATTTAACAATTAGAGACGTTCCCTTATCATTCCATTTTGACTTGAAATATTGCTACGATATCACCACCATGATAGACATCTCCGAAAATGACTCATATTCGAAGTGTATAATGTAACCTCGATAACAATCATACAATTTTTTAATATTTTACCTTTTATTTTTATACTATAGGATTTACTTTGTCAGTTAGACCAAGATTTTGTGTATTATACTATTAAGTTTATGTTTTGATTTCCAATTGACTTACTCTTAGATTCAAATTTTACAAATGACAAGTAGAAATCAACTTCTCTTAGTTTTGTAAGTTTCGATTAAGTACCAATAGTAGTCAAATATTTGTTTTCGTTTTCTAAATTTTATATAATATTTCCTTAATCGACTATCTTTCATTTCGTATGATTTCTTTTCATTTGTCTTTTCTTGTTTAGATTAAATCTGTAAATTCTTTAGAAATTTCATCGGCAGAGAAGGGTTACGAAGATCATTATTATTCTTCATCGAACTTATTTTCAAACGAATGAGTCGAATTGAAAATACTTTTTGTAATGTCTTAGTACAAGAAAGAAAAACACATTTCTTCATTTGATTACGACTTGAGTTTTTACAATTTGTTATTTTATTCAAAGTGATCATTCTCTATTGTTTTTTTTTTTGGTTTATTTATTTATTTATTTAACTTGTTGACAGTAGACTTCTACGTTGTTATGTTGGTCGAATTGGAGGAAAATATACTGGTTCATGATGAACCGATGAATATAATTCATCAATTCTTGTTCTTAATGGTGATGGTTTAGTAGTATATGTTCTTAAAATATCAAGATATTTCATGTACATACGACATCTAATCAAAAGAAATCGAACTTTTAATATCAGTAATAGAAAAAATTGAGAGCAACATACTGTTTTAATAATCTTCGTTGTCCTTCAGGTGAATTTCGAACAAGACAATCAATTGTTACAGCTGCAAAGCTAGGTAAAAGACTATGTGAACTATTTAATAATGTAATAAGATGTTCAAGACCATCACTTGCAATAATTGCTTCACAAACACCTATTTGATCAAAAAGAAAAACAAAATTTCTAGTTAAAAAAAAAAAAAACAACAAAAAACATTTTCACTTTTGTAAAGAAGAAATAAAATTTAAACAAAAACATGCAATAGTTGGTTATTATTAATTTTTCATGCAATTATGTTAATCATATATCATGGTTTTTTGTTTTTGTAACCTGAATGTTTATGCATTCCAAAGCCTAAAATAATTCAATAGATTATTTATCTTATTTTTCAATATATATTAACCTGTCGGTAGACGTGCTAATCGTCCAATAATATCTGTTGGTACAAGTTTTTCTTCATCATCAATATGAGGATCACCAATAATTCGAAATAAAGTCATTAATGCTTGACTTATCCATTCTGAAGCAATTATATCAGGAAAGAGACGAATTAACATAATCATCTAAAAATTAAAAAATTATTTTCTTATTAAAAAAAAAAAAAAACAAAGAAAAGAAAAGAAATAATTAATAATATAATTTACTTGAAATGCTGCAAAAGAACGAATAGAAAGTTGATTGGATGTTAATAAAAGTCGAAAATGTTCATGATTAAGTGTAATATTTTCTGCACAATAATTATAATAATTAACATCATTACAAATAAAAGTAACCAATCTAAATGAAAAATAAAAATAAAAATATTGTTTTTGATCATTTCATCTATACCCAAGACCAGCTCTAATTTGAACTTCTTCATCAACAGGATGAAGTAATAATGAAATACGTTTAAATAATTGTTGAATAACTGGTTTTGTTAATATTTCTTTATTTTCTTTATGATCTATAAATATAAAATTTATTTGAAATATATTATTTAATTCATATATAAAAATATATTAAACATACCAAAAATTGTATAAGCAACAGTTGTTATTGCTTTAGCTTGAAGAAGTTTATCTTTATTTGCTCGACGAATTAATATTAATAGTTGATTAAATCCATTAGCTTTTTGAAATATTGTTTGATTTATTCGACATGGACGATATGTTGGTAGAAGACACAATTGTTGAATACATTGTAAACATTTAAGAAGTAGTTTTACTTCATGATCAACTGATAATAGTCGAACCATTGGTGGTATACAATGTCGACGTCCAAATTTGAGAGGAATATTTTCATTTTCAGTTGGTACTCGTCGAAGAAGTTCACTGATAGCATCAAGCACAATATACAATTGATCACTTGATTTTACATTTAAAACTTCTACTAAAGTAGACACTCCAATAGAATCTTAAAGAAATAAAAAATACTTTCATATTCTTATAATTCTTATTTTTTTTAATCAAATTATCTTACATGCCATTGTTTGTCTTCGACTAGGTTCACGTCCAGTCAATGACCAAAGTGTGCATATAATAGAAATACGTAATTTTGGTAATGTTACTTTATTTAATAATGTAAGAAGTTGTTCAGCACCACCTTGTTGTAAAATTGTGAATTGTGAGCTAGTATTATGTATAATAATCATCTAAAACAAATCATTAATTTCCTTATTTCTAGTTTTTATTTTTTTTTATTTGATGACAAATAAAAATTTACTTGAAGTGTATCAACACTTGAACGTTGTACATCTTTATATGTTGAATTAAGTCCACTTAATAAATGTGCAATCAATAAATGATTATCAGCACATATCTGTTGTTGTTCTTCATTTTCTAAACATAAATCTCGAATAAAACGTAAAATTGATATTGTTAAATCACGATCAAATCGTTCAAGTAAATCAATAGCTAGCTCAAGAATTGTTCGTTTAACTGATGATGAATGTTGTATTAATGTTTGATAATCTCTTTTATAATGTGCAATTTTACCAAGAATATCAAAAAAAAGACATATTTGTTTTATAGGAATATTCATTGTATCTATATCTAATAATCTTTGTATTTCACCAATAAGATTTTGATTAACACATGCTTGAATACAACGTGTATCATCACATAATTGACATACAATATGTGAAAAAAGTACTAAAATAATATCATTTGTTTTATGCATTTTAACAAATGCACGTGCACCTTCTTCATTTTGACTAAATATTGTTCGAAAATTTGGATCAACATACATAATATTATAAAATATAATTAAACAACTTGTTAATAATTGTTCATTTGAATTATTTGTATTATTAACAGTTTGTATAAGAACTTGAATAGTTTTTTCAATAAGATGTAAATTAGATATATATGACCATACAGAATTAATATATTGAGGTGATGTCAATTGTTCAAGTAAATGACCTGCAGCTGATGAATCATCATATGTTTTAGATAGAAACATAGTCATCAATGTATTCCATAAATCGAGTTCATTAGCATATGGTGCTTCTGCAAAATATAGAAATAAATCAGCATTCTGTTTTAAAACAGCTATTGAAGCCATAGAACGATTATCACCATCACGACAGGTCACTTTAGCCCCATGTTTTATTAAACATTCAATAGTACGACGTGCATTACCAATTGTTGCAGCTAATAATGGTGTTAAACGAAAATAATCATATGTTATTGTTTCAACCATTTCTAGAATACGTGCTCTATGAGCAAGACTGAGTCGTTCTTTTTCGTCTTCTGATCTATTTTCATCATTCTCATGATTTCTATGTCCACCTTTTGAATCTAGATTAGCTAATATTCGTTCAATAGCAGTATCATAATCACGAAAAGCTGCTTCATGAATAGGTAAACGACCTTCACTATTATATTCATTTGCCATAACTACATTTATAAATAAAGAAATAAACGTAATATCATTTAAATTAATTTATAAACATCTGTTATATCCGGTTGTGTTTTCAGCAATTTATATTCATTTTCGTCTTTTTTTTCTTTTTTCTTTATTATTTCTGTCTACATCAAGTAGAAAAAAAATTCAAAATAGTAATCAAAACTTATCCTGTCTCCTCATTGTGTCCATAGTTGTTTTGACAACCTTATACTTTTCTTTTTTTGACACATGAAAAACAATTTAATCAATTAGGTATGAGTCGATTTAAAAAAAAAACGTTAAACTTTCTATAAACTTGTTAGAGACAATTTCAAACTCTTTTCTTTTTTCTCTGTCTAAATTTATAACAAAAAATACGTACTTACGAACACACAAGCATAGAATACTTTCTTGATAAGAGAAAAAAACTGATGTTTGCCGTCGTATGATTATTATTTTTTTTTCTACATACACAAGAAAGAATTTTTCAATCGAAAATGTAATAATGTTTTCGAGTGCTGTTCTGTTCTTGTTAAAATATTATTTATTTATTCGTACTATATAGCATTCCTATTATTCAATGAATGTATTGCACATATTGCCAACAATTTTTTTTTATATGCGAAAAAAACAATAATCAATGGTCAAAAAAAAAAGTTTTTGTTCAGAATAAAATTAATTTTTGCTTTGATAAAAAAATAGAATGGTTTAAAACAGAAAAATAACGTAGAGGTTTTTTTATTTGCTTATTTCATAGTAGGTGATATAGAAAAGTTTGTCAAATGAATGAAATTATAACCGTTTTCGTCGGTTTCTTTTTTTTTTTCCATTTTGTTTTTAACCACTTGAACAGACACAACGTTTCTTCTCTTCAACAACAATAACAACAACAAAAAACACGAAAAGTGAAATCCATTAGCAATTTGTTAGATGTTATATAGAGAGCATGGGAGTGAAATAAAATAATATATTTTAAATGCTTCGATCAAATATTATTTTGAACAAGTAAAAAGTGCGAGCAAAGTCGAACAATGACAACATCCCATAGGTTAATTTAAAATTGATTGAATATTTTATTTTGAATTATTAATCATTGTTTTTTCTTTTCTTCTTTTTTCTATAATTAATAGTGTACGAAAATCAGCAGCTTCACATCATGATACAACAAGTGATGATGTTATTAAAACATGGCTTATCTATGATGATAATGGATATTTACCAATACATAAAGCAGCTTTTCAAGGACATGAAGCAACAATAAAAAATATATTAGATGATGCACAACAAAGAAATGAACTTGAAGAACAACTTGAAGCTAGAACAGAAAGAACTGAATTCACTCCATTACTATTAGCAGTTGCCGTAGGAAGATTAGAAATTATTGCAAGTTTACTTAAATATCCTGTCAATTTAAATGCTGTGGATACAAATGGAAACGGTAACTAAGTAAAAATGAATAAAGCAAAACATGATTGATAAAGATTAATTTTGTTTTTTAAATAATTGATTGTTCATTGTTAGATTAAAATTAAGATAAATGGAAGACTTACTAGAGCAATAATTTAGATTTTCATTATTCCTTATTTTTATATCATAATTAATTTAAATTTTCATCTTAACTAACTTTCGAACCTGATGGTTATAGTAATGTTTAAAAATCAATCAGAAAAACATTGAGAATTATTTTCTCATACCAATAGTTTTTTTTTTTTTAAGTTCTAAATATTGTTATTTTGACTCGTATTATTAATCAATATAATTCAATGGTTTAAAATGAAGCCGTATTGGAAAGTAAACCCGTTCGAAGAATATGTAATTTGAAATAAGAAGGTTCGATTCTCACACTTCGAACTAACAGATTTTTTTGATACGTCCTAAGTTTGATAAAAAAGAAATATGGTCTTTTTCCATTTATCGATTTTATAACATTTAAAATGAAACGAAAAAATCAAAATTATTCAATAATCCTTTTTTCTTTTCAAAAAAGATGTTCATTTTAACGCTGTTTACGGTTTGTTTGATCTATCATCATAACAAAAGTTCATTTATTGAAATAACGACGTCAAAACTCATTATTATCAAGCGAAGAAAAAAAAAATACATTTTCATTATTGACGTTTCATAAATAATGATTGACAGAAACAAGTAGTTTTTTGTATTTTAATTAGGTATGGCAACTATTGCTGCTCTGTCACAAAATGAACGTACACTTCGTTATATTATTGATTACCCTTTTCCAAATAATGCATATAATGTTTGGAAGCCATTATTTAAATTATTTATTTCATTAAATGACGATGAAAGTATTGTATGTGGTCGTGCACTTGAATTATTAACTCGTCGTGAACCGAATGGTCATCGAAGTAGTCCATATTGGCCAGCTATGGTGGATAATGGTCTTATTCCAACATTAATTCATGTATTTACTGAATCAAAAAATGATGATGTACTTATAAGTGCATATCTTTTATTATTAAATAGTGCTATGGAATATCCACGTATTAAAACAGAAATAATGACAATTAAAAATGCATTTAGTCCTATGTTAAAACATACACGTTCAACAAATAATCAAGTTGTTACATTATTAGGTCGTGTATTAGCATGTTTAAGTGAAAATAAATCTTTAATTGAATCAATGGTTGATCAAGGTCTTATTGAATCATTAATGATACTTATTGATAAACAACGTACACCACAAATAATAGCATCATATTTTGATTGTTTAGCTAATATTGTTTCATATTCACCTGAATATCAATTAAAATTAGCTAATTCACAAGAATTTATTTCATTACTTATAAATCATTATTTAGAAGAATTTGATTTACGTTTATCATTAGCTGTTATGCATTTTATACGTCAATTAGCATTTAAAAATGAACAAATACAAAATTTATTAGCAAAAAATGGTGCATGTGAACATATACTTAGTGCTTTATCAGCATCATCTAAAGATTTACAACAAGTTGCTATTGAAGCTATACAAGCTATAAGTGATAAAAATGTTCTTGTACAACGTATTATGTTACGTGAAAATGCTCTTGAACAATTATTAAGTTTATTAGACAAAACAAATCTATCTAGTTTACAAATAGCTATTGTTTGTACATTATGGACATTATGTGGTAATAGTTCATCACGTAAACGTGAAGTTGCAACACGTATTGGTGTTAAAAAATTAATTAGTTTTTATAGTATTAAATCTGAAGAACATTTATTAGCTATTACTGATGCACTTGGAGAATTAGCAAAACGAACAGCAAGTGTAAAAATGAATGTACAAGAAGAAATAAATCATTGTCAAGGAATACAATATCTTATAAGATTATTGAAATCGGATAATGAAATGCTTGTTTTAAGTGTTTTAAGAACATTACAGTTACTTGCATGTGCACCTGGTTTTGTTTCGAATCGACGAAATCAAGAAACCATTGTTAAAAATGATGGTGTTACAATAATGGTTGCTTTGATGTTACATGCCAAAAGTGAAATTATTCAAGTCGAAGCAGCACAAACTTTAGCTTGTATTGGATTAGGTATATAAAATACTTGATAATCTGTCGAAATAAAGAAAGAATTCGTTTTTGTTGTTTTTTTAGTAAATATTCAATGTTCGACAATTATTGAAAATACATTAGATTTTTCATATGAACACCTATTTACTTTAATGCAATCAACGAATCCAATTGTACAATTAAAAGCAACAAATGCACTAGCTTCATTTGTCTATAATAATCCACGTGTACAATTATCTCTTTCGAAACAACATGAACTTTCATTTGATTATTTTCAAACATTTCTTCAAAATAATAATGATCAAATACGATGTGCAGCAGCATTTCAAGTTTGTTTTTTATGTTTATATAATTTATTAATCAATATGAATTTAAATTTTTTTAGCTTGTTGTTTTGGCTGGTTTAATACGTGAACGAACACAATCAGTTAATACAGCTATTGGATGTGGAATTCTTATTGATATTCTTCGAAAATCTCAAACTGAAGAAGCAAAATCAGAAGCTGCCGAATGTATAGCTCGACTTGCACATATGAAATCAGGTAAATTATTGAAATTCATTTTTCTTTTGTACTATTTTTTATACTATGTTATTTCTATATAATAATATAGTTACCTATAAATATATATATATACATGTTTAATTATAGTCTCTGAAGTGCTTAAGCACACAGGTAACATTATTCCAATATTTATATGCCTCTTCTCCTCTTCTTCTTTTTCTTCTTCTTCTTGGCACTTAATATTAGTCTTCAATTATTTGCATCCCGAAAAACTTCTTATTATAGTTGTTACTTTCTTTATTCTATAGATTATACTTAATAGTTGCATGCATGCAGGCCCCGCGAAAGTGGGGGGGTGTAGGAGGGTGTGCACCCCCCCAATAATTAATAATTACTCATTCGTAGCCAACAAAATCCATAAATCTTTTTGAAATTTTTTGCTAGAAAATTCTGAAGGGATGTTTAAATTTTTCGCTTCGCGAAAACATGACCACGGGAGCGTATTCGACCTAGAAATATCTCTGATTTTTTTGTTTTTAACGCAATTTTACTTCTGTCTTCTTTTGAAGAGCTTTATTTTCCAACAGTCGTCACTAGCGTGGCCGCCTTCGGCGACGAAATCTCTAAGAGTTATCGCAACACTTTTTGCTTTCGAACAACATAAGGGAAAAAGAGTTTTTCGTGAGTCTGAAAAATGTTTTCGCTTCGCGAAAAATAACAATTGTGTAACCGCAGTTAACTTAGACAAACTTCCTATTGTCCGATTCAAAATAAAAGGCAGGTTACGATTTTTCGAATAACTTTTGATAGGAACGAGATAGAGAGGTGCGGTTTTCACAATTCGAAAGAGGGATGTCTGGGCCATCGATCGGTATAGAACTCATTAAGACGGAAGATGTTTTTTTTATAGGTACCTTGGGATCAACATTTTTTCTTTTGAGTATTTTCATCAATTTTCATGATAATCTCAGCTCAAATTATGTCAAAATGTAGCTCTAATCACCCTCTTTTCGCTATAAAATTATCACATATTTTATTATCTCTCAATCGCTTATTCTAAGCGGATTTAAAAAAAAACAAATGTTAATTTTATAGCAAAAAAGAGGATGATTTGAGCTACATTTTGACATAATTTGAGTTGAGATTATTCTAAAAATTGATGAAAATACTCAAAGGAAAAGTGTTGATCCAAAGGTACACATAAAAAAAATATCTTTCGTCTTAATCAGTTCTATACTGATCAATGGCTCGGACATCGCTCTTTCGAATGGTGAAAACCGCAGCTCTCTATCTCGTTCGTATCAATAGTTATGCGAAAAATGGTAACCTGCCTTTCATTTTGGATCGGATAATACTTTAGTCAACTTTTCCTTTGAAACAGCTTGATATAGAGCAATTTGCACCAAAGTGGTCGCTTTCGATAACGGCAGTATCGAGAAATTTTCTCATATTGGACTCGAGTTCTCTTCTTGAAAATTTGCCAGAAAAAGTCAAATTTTTTAAGGAGGTTGCAAAAAGTTGTCGCTTCGCGAAAAATGATTACATTTTACGTCCACAAAAAAAGATTAACATCAGATCTGATGCGAAAAAAATTTTGCTTCCCACAGTCTTGACTGCCTTGAAATCTCGTCACACCCCCCCAATCTTGGGTTCCTCGCGCGGGGCCTGCATGCATGTTTCTTTTCATTAATCATTCTTTCAGGTGTACCACAAGCATTAATTTCAGTTAATGCAATTGATTATTTATGTGATTTATTTTCATCATCACATGATACAACAATTGGTATTGCATCTGTAGCACTTGGATATCTATCTTATGTTCCTGAAGGACAACGAAAATTATTACATAGGTATTTAAAGAAAAAATATATATTTTATTATTTTTTTTCTTCAAAAATCTTTAATTTATATTTTTTTTTTAAAAAAACAACAGATGTCGTGGTGAACCAGATATAATGGCTTTTCTCAAAGTGTACAATTGTTTACCTGATATGTCACCACGTATATCAAAACATCTGCTCGAAGATTGGGATCGATATAATACACTCAAACTACCGAAATTACGGTCAGCGTACAGTACTACTACTACAGTGGCATTCACAGCGTCCGTCATTAGCCGCACCCAATTACTGCTCAGGGCACAATCTCGTGCTGCTCGCCACGATGGCTTTTGAGAGCGCGAGGGAATGTGTTTACCAGTGTGTGCGTGTTTGTGTGTGTTTGTGCTCTTGATGCTCTCACTGCTCGGCATTTACAAACATATTTTTCTTTATTTGATTTTTGTTTTTATTCTCTTAATTTTCTTCTATTTTTAAATGACATTGAAACTCTATTAACTGAATTTTCTATGTATTTATTTATTTTTATTTATTTATTTTAGATCCCGAGGGTCAAATATTCGATACTTTAAAGTTCTTTCAAACAATATTGAACGTTTAAGAGCAGCACCACAATCAACGATTGATAAAGAACCTAACAAATCAACTATGATCAAATTTTATTTACCACCTATTCGTCAAAAAGTTAAATAATTTCTTTGTTTTTCTTCATCGAATTTAATATATGTATATCATTGAAAAAGAAAAATCAAATATATATATATATATAATTGTAGTATTTATATAGAATAATAGATATCTCATTAATTTCTAAACGGTATTAAAAATCATTATTTTTTTATAACATATTAATAAAGCTATAAGAAATTGAACAAGAGACTTCTATTGATATAATATGAAATAGATGTAAAGCTTGATCTTCGTAGATTTACTAGTAATAAGAATAAATAATTTTCTTTTCAACGTTAAATTTCAATAAGCTCTATTCATTCATCATGCAAAGCTAAAGAGATTACAAAAATTTCTTATGACATTGGAAAGCATATCTGATTAACAAAAATAAAAATGTTTTTTTTTTCCGAAGTCAAATATGTATGTCATGATTAAGTCTGACGTGAGACGACAATTACAGTCGAATTTAACGAAGTCATGAAAAACAAATAAACCTTATAGAACTCAATAATGAAGAGTAAAAATTAGATCAAAAAAAAAGACCTAGTAAAATATTACAAATATAAACATGTATTGAACATAGGTTTCAATAATATAAAGCAATAAATCTTCAAAGAATTTTTCATGACAAGAATGTTCCTATTAAAACAACATCAGCAATTGCAATGCCATATCACGATATGCTTTCAAACCGTCTATTTATGTTTGTCTTCAAATGAATGACGTCTATTAGTGCACAAGATCATTTTTGACATAAAACAAAAATTTAATTAACTAATCAATCTTATACAATAAACATTCGACTTCTAATAATGACAATCGTAGTATATAATTCAAGATGAAAATTGCTGTACTGATTTGTTGATGATCGTTCAAGCCTATTCTTTACTATTATGTCAATATAATATTTTCTCTCTGCTAAAAGTTCTAAAAACAAAAACAAAAAAAGGAAATAATTTGTTCAATAAAATTTAATATAATTTCATTTTTCTAAATTTTCTTTTGACAAAAATTAAAATCACAAATAAACAAAAAAGAAAAAAGAAAGTTATTTTCAAGTCAACAATCAACAGATTAATACATAAATTGTTATATATTTATATATGTATAAATAAACTGTTCAGTAAGAATTATCTTATATAACTCAAACAAAAAAGAAACAAGAATATGTACAGATTAACTCGAATTATCGATGTAAAATAAAATAAAAATATTGAAACTCATTTTTCTCATAATGATATTTCAAAAATGGGTTATATGATTTAGATGATTCTTTCCAATATGTATACGATTATTTGGACGATTGATCAAATTTACTGTTGATAGGATTATTTTCATTAAAGTTTCAATAATCATTTCTCTTTATCCTATTCAGTTTGTCATGATTATAGGATGTTGGATCAATTAAAGGAAAAGTAGTCATTTGAGTCTTTGCTACAATAGCTGTTGTTATTAATCCTGTTCCACCTCCACCATTACCAGCTAGAGGTGTAGCATTTGCTCTATCATTTGGACAATATTCAGATAAAATTTTTGAACATCCAGGTAAAGATAAAATCATAACACGAAGTTCTTGCCGAAAAACATCAGCTGTTAAAAAATAAAGTAGAAAATTTGCTGCTGTATTTGCATAATAAATTAATGAGAACATAGTCCATAAAGATTGTGAATTTATTCCATGTAAGTTTTTAAATAAATGTCCAAATGCCATAAATGTTGATGCTGGTGCTGTTAATAAGATAAATACACATGAGACAGAGAGAAGCATAATTGTCATATTTCGCTGTTTAGCTTTTTTACGTTGGTTTTTTTGATTAATACGTTGTTGAATGCGTCGTGCCGAAGCAATTACTTTTAATATTAAAGAATTAAGTATCAACATTGTTACAAATGGACATAATGTAAAAAAAAACCATTGAATATATCCGATCATATTAGAACGAAACCATAAATAATTTGGATATTCTAATGATACATTGCATACACGTCTATATGATACTGTAACATTTAATAATGTCGATTGCTTAGGTACTAATATAATTTCATAAAAAATACCCCAATGTAATTGAATAAAAATGGAAAATAAACATATTAAACCAATAACCATGTAGGCATTTTTGACAGTGCAATGTCTTTTTGAATAATGATGTTTTGCTATAGCAAGATAACGCTGAACACTTACAGCAACAAGTAATGTTGGAGATAAATTAAGAAAATAATAAGTAAAAAATATATGTAATTTGCAAGCTATATTGCTATATAAACGCATATTTTGTTCAGGATCAAGACGAACAAGATAGAAGTTCAATACACTGAAGAAAACATTACCTAAACATAAATAGATATTAGAAAGAATAAAATTAAATTAATGAATTTTCTTGCCTAAATCAGATAATGCTAAAGCAATGAGATAAATGGATGTAACTTGAGCTCTTAATTTTTTTCGGCTAAGTGTTAAAGCAGATAAAGTATTACCAATACCACCGATGACAATTAATAAACCACCGATGATTCGAACGGACCATTTAAGGACAGGAAAATGATTTTGACTAGAAAGAACTTTAGCAGCAGATGACGTTGTTACAGTTAAAATTGACATTAATGATGAGGAAATATTGGATGATGATGGTGTTATTTGATATCCGAGTTTTGCTTCAATCATGGTAAAATTACTATCGAAGAAGAGTGGCTCGAGCCAGAGTATATCTTCCTTGACCATTGACATTGTAGAAAAAAAAATTAAACGGTCGATAAACAAACTGATAAGCATAGAAGCCGATAGTTAAAAGCGGCCGATTTTCTTGCCGTGTAACCTAAATGAACGAGAATCAATAAGGACGATCGAGATTCATGTTTGATCTTTTCTATATTAAAAAACGCTTTTTTCTACTCCGAAAGAAAGAATGGTGCTAATATTTTAAATGCACAAACCTTCTTAGTTATGTATTCCATCATAATATCGACGTTCTCGACACTAAACTGACGATCGGCATTTTTTAAGCAGTAATAATAAAAGAAACTTTCTTTCTCTTTCTTTCTTTCTTTCTTTCGTTCGCTCTCTTTCTATCACATTCTCATTTTCTTCTATCAGTATATCACAAAACACATTGAATTTACATCATGCTACTCATTAGATTCTTTCAATGCATACATCGGTAAAGTGTAGAAGAAAGTCTCGGAAATGGAAAAAGATATGTGTGACAGATATACATACGTCTTTCTGATCTAATCTACTTTCTGTTACGATTTTTGTTTCTTAAATAAATGTGGACGAGCTAGCTGTTCCAATAATATAACAAGAAAAATAACCATCATAATAAAAAAACAAAAACTTTGACACCGATGTAAGCAAGAAGATGATAAAGTTTTGTCAGTTGTCTCTTCGATAATGTAAATCAATCATTATCATTATCGAAAGAAAAAAAAAATATGTAAATAAATCTTTATATATATATATATTTATATATAAAACTAACAAGTATGTTACTTAATAAAACAAAAACACAGGCATCCATCTAAAGGATGACATTGCATGCTGATAACATTTTCTTTTTCTTTTCTTGACGTTTCTTTTTTTTTTCTTTATAACATTTGTTCCTAATTCAATTACTACTACCTTCTCCAGGTTGAGTAAATTCTGTGTGATCAGTCATATGAAAAAAATGTATTCTTATAAAAAACAAAAGAAAAAAAAAAACCTACCGATAAAAATGCTTATTTCTATCCTGATTATCATTTCTCACTTATTGAATAACAAAAATAAATCTACATGATGAAAAATATGAATTTAGCTCAATTCTTTTCTTTCTTCATCTTCTTATCATTTTCCTTTCGGCTTGATTGGTTTTACATCAGTCCCCAGGACGGAAATAATAAGGACTTTTGGTGCGTTGATCAATAATATTTTGTAACCTGAAAATATTTTATTGAACAAAAGAAAAACAGATTATAGAAAAAAAAAATATTCATACTAGAATTAATGATTTTTTTATTTTCAAATCTTATTAGGATTTCAATTATTAATACATCTAAAAACCTAATACATTAAGGCTGAAAAGACGTGAGAAGCGAAGAGAAATAGCAAAAAAAAATGTATTCCTTATTCTAGTTAAATTCTACACTTAATATGTATAAATGCATGTTACGAGAAACGAAGAGTAAAGAAAAGTTGTAGAACCATCGAATGTACTTGACATAACTCTCAAGAAGCAAATTAATGTCGATTTGTTTGCTCGTTAAAAAGAATGAGTGAGTCTGTGTGTCGTGTTTAATAATTGACGATACTTACACAATCGTTCTTTTCTTGCTTGTTAAAAACCCATGTCGACAAGATAATCTTAAAATAATTTTCTCTTCATATCTTCAATTTTTTTTTACACATCCATAGAGAGATAAAGATCAAAGTTATTTCATTGATAATTATGAAAAGTGATGATGAGAATCAAAATGGAAAAAAAAGATTCATAGCTTGAGTTTTTTCTTTCTTTATATCGTGCTTTTTCATTCTGTCTTTCTTTTCTTGGTTACTGTTGACTAATAATTTTAGCATATATGTGTGAATCTTATTCAAAAAAAAAATGAACGACTAACGGCACAACTGTTCCAGCGGAGGACTTCCCATAGGAATTAGTGTATTATATGTCCTGTTGTGTTTTTCTGTATTCCAGAGTGTTAATGAGAAAGAAAAGGGAGAACAAAGGAAAAAAGGAAAAGAAAAAGAAAGAACTCTGAATAGACCACAAGCGACACAGAGAGATGCTTAAAAATAAAGATCATTCAATTTTACAAGTGCTATTATACAACAATTATGGGTTTCATTAAATAAAACTACGTGAACTTCTCACATGATGATAAAGATCAATCAGTTTCATAATCATTTCATATTCCTTAATAGATATACATTTATACATATATATTATGTATATACCTTAAGGTGATGTAACATGAATCGAGTTTTGAGGATATGATTGACATCAATCGTTTCGGGGGCACTTTATTTTTTTATATGAGTTTTCTGGTGATAAACACATGGATGTTAACATTCATTGACTGATAACAATTTACGATTTCTATAAAACTGTTTTCGTGACAACTTAACACAATGATGTCGCTTGGGATTATATTTGCTATTGAAAAATTCATTGTTGAAAGCAAATCTATATACGACTAGTCTTTCAGTTGGTACTATCATATTCTCTTCATCTGAATAATAAATGAAAATATCTCTTAATTTTTACCTCATTCTTATGTAAATATATATTATGTTTGGTCTATGCTCTCAACATACTCATCGATAACATTCAAAAGATGAAAGGAAGGTGCTTAAGGATTAAAATAAAGGAAATACATAATTAAAAGTAATGCAACAAAACAATACAAAACTAAGCTAGACCAAAACGTAAAAGTCACTCAAATAAAACAAAAAAGAATAATCCAACGGAGAAAAATAACAGACGCCTTGATATTCTATAAAGGTTCTCTTTGTAATTAATAGAAGAAAATTTTATTAAATGACTATTATCATAATAACATTTAATCGAAGAAATTTATATCTATATTACTAGCTGAGAAATTCAAGCCATTTATTCAATAGATAGAACAATAACGCATATTCAAAACATATCTTTTCTTCATTAATGCGCACATAAAATTTCATTTATTCATCCGTGCATCCATTATCGTTTTGTTTGTCTTGTTATGATAGAAAAAGTACTATTATCACAAATGAGCATAGCGGAACAATAGCGTAATAAGACCAACTGAAAACATCCAGAACGGATGTATCATCAAAACAACTAAATATTACTTGGCTATTAGTGAAATGTATCGATTATTTATCTACGATAAATTAAATAGTTGTTATTTATTTATTAAAAAAAAAAAAAAAACGGAAAAGATTTTCTTAGTTCTAATAATGTCAGATCATATATAAAATTCATCCGTATGAAAACAACTTATTTTCTAATTTAAATGACGAAATTTTTAGTTTTTAAAATAGAATATTAAATATATCGGTGAAATTATCTATCTACTTTCCTGAGTTTTGTATTTGTAGATGTGAAATCTTTGAATATTTTCTATTTTTATCCTACCTAATCAAATATAGTGTCGATTAGAAATTAATTTAATTTATTGATAATTACAGAACAGGCGATAGAATCTTTTTTTCTTCCTTTCTATGCTAGTTGTATTTAATTAGTAGACTATTTTCATCTATTGTTCTATCTATATTCCCTAGAGAGTCAAGAGATACTTGATAACACCAATCATTTTTATATAAATCTATGATAGACATGATAAAGGATAATCTAGGCAATAACTAATATACATATTTTCTTTCATGTTTTTGAACTTGATTAGTTAAACCTTGTGATCGATTACAAAGCTCTGTGTCGTCGTGCCTAATAGAAGAAAGATAACAAGAATAGATTATGACAAAATTTTATTGATAGAATTATTTATTAGTGAGATATCGTTTTGGTTGTCCGAATCGATCGTTAAAAATGCTTTTCTTTAGATAATGAGTCTTGCTACTGAATACAAATCAATACTAGTTGAATAAACTAAAGTAAATCAATAAAAATAAGAAAAGCTATTATAATCATTTATATATGAATTGAAAATTGAATCATAGTTATTCAGTTAAGAAAAGCACATAAAGAACACATGTTTTTCATTGGCATTAGTTAGATTTATTTTCATTGTCATATTATTGATCGATAAAAAAACAACTAGAAAGCCGTGCGCTCATCGGAAATCAGACCTTCTTCTTTTAGTAGACTGCTCGCTTTTTTTTCCGTCTTTTTCTTCGCTTTTCGCTCTATGTCATATCTCAGTCAACAATGATTGAGCATAGACACGCGGCTAAGTGCCTCTGGGGTGCGAACAACGAGTGCTGAAATGCAAGCTAAATTTCTTTTTCTCTATCTTTTTCTCAATTCTAAACCATTTCTTCGTCATTACCAACACCATATTATTAGATACTATTCGATTAGATCAAACAATGAAGCCAATGGCTTATGAAACCAAATGAACCTATATAAAAAAAAACAGAATAATGCTCATTGCACACTAAGTTTTTCTTTATGATTTCAATCTAGTGATCGGTTTTCTTATTGATATGGTTCATTGAAATTTGAGTAATAGTATTATCTTATAGAAAACAGTGTTAAGTTCATGTACCTACGATTTATTTCGGTTAAGGCAAACTTTTAATCATATAATATTGAGCCCAAATCTATAGTTAAATATATTACAGACACTACAGGAAACATATTTTTCAAGTTATGCATTTGAAAAAGAAAAAATTGATATATTTCATAATAAAAAAAATACCGTACTATTCAAGTGATTGATAAGTAGAATTACCGAGACAACAAGAAACTTAAAATGCTAGAAATCATAGATATTGTCGTGTATAATTATATATTTCTTTTGAGTAGATACTTTAAAAGTGATATAAATTTTATCGTTAAATACTCACGGGCATTGTTATTATGTTCATTCTCATTATATTATTGCCTGCAGTGTTAAAGAAATTGTGAATCAAGTAAAACTAACAACAATAATAATAATAATGATTTAGTTTATTGTGAATGACGTCGATCGTTCTTTCAATGTTGTAGTTGTTAACTGTCAATACTCGAATCAAGAAATGATTTTCTGAAGAAAAGAGTCCTCTTTCGCGTTTTTATATCTACAATGATAAACAAAATTGAGAATGAAAAAGCATGATTTCATCAGAAATCGTACAATAAAAGAGTAGAAAGAGAGACAGAGAGGAAGTGAGAGAGAGAGAGAGAGTTAGAGATATTCTGACGAAAAAAAAGCAAAAAGAAGGAAAAAATTTTGCATCTACTTTCTCGTTTTCTTTTTCCGTTTTGCCATTTTTTTCTGCTCTAGATGAAAAAGAAAATAACAAGTGAAGAGATTCATCATTGCTGACGCTATCAGCATCACTATCTATCACATCCTCATTGTTAAATATATATATATATATATATATGAAATTGATGCTTCTTATACGAATAGGGAAAAAAATATAGGCAATATATCGATTAGATGACGAGCAAAAAAAAACCAAAAACGACAAGTCAAAAAAGAAAATGCTAATCATGATTCGCATCAATTGTAACTGAACAGCAGAGAATAGAATAGACGACGAAGATTTTTACTGTAAAAGATCATTAACTAACACTGATCCGATTAATTTGAAACGACAAAAGAAAAATGCAGGCTTCGAAAGCCAATCATGTAATTCAATGGCGTTCATTCTGAAGCCACTGTCGCTATAAATCGTTCACGCTTTTAGATAGATAGCCGGAAGCGGAAGCTCAATTGTGACAGCTGAATATATGTAGAGCTCATGCAACGAAACATATACACAAAGATATGTATTTGAGATTATGAAAAAAGAAAAAGAAGAAAATAACAACATAACTATTTACTTGACAAATGGAAAACATAGATGGTTTTTGTTTTTGCTCTTTAATTTTAGGGGGTAACTCAGGACATAGATTATGTCTTTTAAATGTCAAACAAACTTCAATCTAACTGTCAAATCTAACAAAAGTACAGTAAAGAGACAAGAGGTGGACTGTAAAGTTATTCTATCAATTCTCATTAAGAATTTAACACGCGAGATTTCTTCTTCTTTTTTTTTTATACTATGCAGTTTCAACATTACATGTTACAGTCAATAGATAATTAAAAATGTAACTCGTGAGTAGATTTATACAGATGTTTTGTCGACCTTTTGTCTTCAATTAATGTGTAGAACTTGAATGTTTTCGTATAAACATTGACTGTGCATGTCTGAGCGTCTGGAGAATTCACAATAGAATGTCGAATTGATTGATCTTTTCACTATGGTGATATGCTCGTACATATAGAGATAACCAATAACAAATAGATAAGAAAGTGATAAAAACGTCAATAACAATAGGAATAGCAAAAAACAATTGATGAAATGTAGATTGTTTGACCTCACGCGTATGGTCAATCAAAGGTTGAGTAGTCATGGAAGTGTGATGGTCAGAAGAAAAAGAAGAAAAAAAAAGAAAAGGAAAGATAATGCGGTCGAGAAGGACGAATCATTTATATTGACCTTACACTCAAAGCTCATTTCTCATTCACTACAACAGAAATCATGATCAATTTTATATATATCTATGTTTTACTGCTCTTTTTATTTTTCAATATAAACAATGGAAGAAAACCGGATGATCCTTTACAAGGTATATTAAATAAATATAAAGGATTTTTTATTGTCTCATAATAATCTTTATTATATCTAGGAACAAAGTCAATCTGTGCGGATGTTTGTACACCCTCTGAACCTCATGTTGAAGTGGATTTAAGTGAAGCACGAATCTATCGAGAACATGAATATGTTCAAATAAAACTAGATCAAACCGGTAGTGGACCATGTCGAGAACAAGGTATAATAGAAATCATTAATATTATCATTCAATAAAACATTTACTTTTTATATATTTTTTTTACTTTCATATAATAGATTAATTATTTTTTTGTGAAACTATTTTGTCAAGATTGTTTTTCAATAGTAAATAGTAGTTTACTCTATTCATTTGGTCCAATGCACATAATAAAGATTGAGCGGAAACTGAGAGAAAGAGAACAGACAAAAATAGAGTTTTATTTCTAATAGATCAAAGTCATATAATTATAAAATATCGTTTTTTTTTCCTTTTCTTCCTTATGATTTTGCAATTTAGCTTTACTTCAAATTCCTCTTGATGCAATTGGTAAACATGGTATTGTAAAATTTGATCTTAGTTTTGGTCCTGTTTTACATAATATTAGTATTGATATTGGTATTGTATTAATATTTTATTTTATTTTATTCTTTTTGTTTAAAATGAAATTTAAGAAAAATGATTTTCTTTTGTCAAGGATTTAATGATGAAGATAATAAAACAATACGAAGTGTTAATGTAATTAATCAACAAATATCAATTGAATATTATTCAGATGATGAAAATAAAACGAATATTCATGAACAATCAGTAACGTTACTTGAACCAGGTGAATCATTATCAATTTTTATATCTAATGAATGGATTTCTATTGAAAATGAACAACGAAAACAACAAAATTTAAGAGTTGATTTTAATCAATCAAATTCTTTTCTATTTAATCAATATTCTTCTGTCAAACATCTTTCTATTGGTCTTAATCGTAATGTAAATGGAAAACAAACTGGTATCGGTCTTTGTTTAACTAATATAACATTTATTGAATGTTACACTGATCAACGTATGTTTATATATAATAAAAAAAAAAAAAAGAAATATATATATATATATATTTTTATTGTATTCTAATCTAGCATCTGCTCTGAATATTGATGTAAATAATAAAACATTCGAACAATATGATTTTGAAAATATCACTTGGATTAGTCATTTAACTTATCTTGATCCAAATGCTGATATACGTGAATGTACAGCACAAGGTTAGTTAAATAAAATTATTAAGAAAGAAAAAAATGTTTGTTTTTCATTAATTTATGTAAATAAAATAGGTGTTATTCGTTTAACATTTGATCCATCTGGATTACGACGTATTGCTCGTTTTGATTTAAGTATGGGTTCACAAATTCAAGGTTTTACATTTAATATTGGTGATTCACCAACAAATAATGGTTATGGTGGTGATGGTGGTACAACATCAAATTCAGCTGAAATTCATTCAAATGATAATCGTTTTTATGTAAATATAATTCATTGAAATATAAATAATATTGTTGTTATAATGAATTTTTTCTAAGATTTGGGCAAATACAAAAATTTGTGGTGATACACTTTTATTAAGAATTGATTATAATGTTATTGAACCATATGATAATATTACAATTTTTGTTAGGTTAATGATTAATAATTTCATTTGAAAAAGAAAAAAGAAAATCTTATTTTTATATTTTTATTTAATTCTAGTAATGAACGTATTGAATTAACTAATCATCGTTCATATCATCAAATTGTTTATAGTCCTTATTTATATGCACTTGCTAAACAAAATGTAACATGTAATTGGTAAGAATAAAATAAATATTTATGTTTTTATAATGTTAGTTATGTATATATTTTTTTTTAGTTTTGATTCACTTTGTTATCCCGGTGTACAACCAGATAATGATGTTTACTTTTCTATAAATCGTGTTATTGGTGGAACTTATCGACCTGGTATTGGTGTCTGTAATGCATATGTCAATTGGATTCAATGCAAGAAAATCGGTAGACCAAAAAGAACAATAATATATTTATTAATTTTTTCATGAATAAATTTTTTTTTCTATCCATCTAAAGAAGTGTCTCCACGAATTAAATCCAAACCAATAGTTATAACAACAACAAAGACAACGACGACTACTACAATGATCTTCACTACCGAAGCAACAACAACAACAAGAAAAATTGAAGAAACTACAATCAATTCAAGTATAGAACCAATCGATGTAACAACTAGAGCATTAGAGCATGCAAATGAAATGATAATGAGTAGTGAATTCCCATCATTAAAAATAATGACAGAAGAAAGTAATCAAACTAATCAAGATTATTCAAGTAGTACATTTGTATCGATACCATCAACAATTATCTATGTTGAAGAAACAACAACAGAACAAGAAATAAATTCTACAGAATCGATGTTTGATTATATGACAACTAATCAAGAAAATAATGAAGAAGAAAATCATTTTGCAAATATATCAACAGATATTAATGAAGATGAAACATCAACGATATCAATATTAAGTAATCGATTTCGTTTATTTCATTTATTAGCTAATTTATCACAATATATTCTTATGGAAAATACAACTTTGGAATCAATAGTTAATGATTTTAATTCAACAATAATAGAAAACGATATAACAACAACAACAACAACAACAACAGGTGAAGAATTGACTTTATTTTAAGATAATTTAATAAACTGTTTTTTTTTTGTGTGTGTGTGTTCTTAGTTTTAGATTCATCAGCTAGTTTAAATCCATGTACATTGGAAAATGTTCTTGCTAATTTTGTTTATCATGAATATCCATTAGATGAACATAAATTTATCTTTTGTGATAGTGAAGGCAAAATGAATATAATTGCATGTACACCAAATTATGTTTGGTCACAAACTGAACAATCATGCATTTTACCTAATTAGATGAAAAAAGACAAAATTAAATGTTTTCATTTTTCTGTAAAACGTTGTTGTCTGATTGGTGTGCATCTTAATTAAATTTAATTGTGAAAGAAATTTAATTTATCTATGAAGTATTCTCGTTCAATAGACAATATTTAGCAAATCTATATAATCAATTCATTTTTTTTTTCAATATTATCTATTACCTTTTATCTCTAGAAGAGCAGAATCTATCGTAGAAAAATGAAAACTATCTTCAATTATCAATATAAAGATTGTAGGTATTAAATTGTAAAGCTAAGTTCCTCAAATATCATATTTCAATTTTCGTGCATCTGTATCAGAGATATTTTGATCGAGTAAGATAATTTTTGTAGTTTTTACCAACTTTAGTAACTAATTAAATGAAGTAAGTGTCTAGCCTTTTAGTTGGTTTTAATCAAGTATCGTGTTCAAATTCAGTCATAGCAAAACCTCCATAAGTAACGTTAGAAATTTCAATAAAATCAATACTACCATGTTCATCAATCCATTGAATTTGATCGTATGCTTCTTCTATTGTTAATCCATCAGTACTAAAATCAGCTGAATTTAGTTCAACATTGACAGCAAATATTTGAGGAACAATTCCTGTAATAGCATTAATGATTCGATATAAAAATGTCATTCTATCCTTTAGTATTACTCCATATTCATCATTTCGTGTATCTGGTTGTGACGATAGGCAATAACTAATCAAATGAGCAAAATGGAAGATTCTTTAAATGCTTTGACAATTCTATTAGATGATTTGAATTCGCATGGCAAACTCATTTTGTGACATGATTGATCGATTCCATCTTCATCTAGATTAGTTTTTCCATGTCAACAATTACTAACTTATAGTTTTATAACGATGTCCCCAAGTGCTGAACAATAATACATGGTGAACGATAGTACTTGGCAGTTTTTTTTTTATTTTGCTTGAGGGACAATATAAACTAATCTTGCACTAGATCTAATAAATATTAAATATATATTTATATTTATAACGCAGATAATATCAATCTATCTATAAATATTTGTTAGTAATTATAAAGAACCATTACTTGGGAGTATGTGACGGTAATACAAATGTCCATTTCAAAGGAAAAATAGGTTAATGCTATCGTTTTTTAAATACAAAGTAATACCTTGTTTACTTTGTTATTATGATGAAATACAATATTTTTTTTATGAATGTAGGTTCATCATGTCTTTTAGAAACTTTATAGACCTATTCAGTTTCGTAATCCCTGCGGAATCATCGACTAATCCTTTTCTGAAGTGTCCTTCTTTCTCTCATTTCCTCTTTTGTTTCAAAAAATAATCTTGATGAAACTAGTTCAAAATTGAGATCTAGGCAATATTAAATAGTTTTTTAAATATTTATCAACAGAAAAAATTCGAAGAATTAAGAATAATGAACTGGTCATATATATATATATATTGACATTAAATTATGTATCACTTATATCAATATATTATATTGTGAAGTGTGATTTAATTATATTCAAACTAAAAGCAATGAAGACAATTTTAGCTTATATATTACTTAAGTTACAATAAAGAAATGTCTTGTTTTCAATTTCAAGGTTCAAAAAATAATTATGTTCATTTTTCTTGTTCATAAAAATGTCTACAAAGATTGTTTTTTGATGTCGATGGAGAAGTCATTCGTGCATGCATCAGAGAATGAATTAATGATAATGAATATTTTATCGACTTAAAATAACAAGTGACGTGTTGTTTTCTCTTAAAAGAAATGAAAATGGAGAATTTTTATATTTAAATAAAAGAAAATTATTTCATATAATTTGACATTCAAATGTACTTGTAGCACATATATATATAGTTAAATGAATAAATTCAGATAAATCGAACGGCAGTGACAATTTGTTTACCCATTACTTAATTGAATCTAGTTTTTCTTTTATTCTTATATTATAATTGAATTGTTATAGTTTATCATGTAATAGTGATGCCATAATTTTGAATAGATGTCATCGACAAAAAAAAAACAAGATACAATCCATTTGCAGGAAACCATTGAAAGTTAATGAATCATGCATCAAGAAACATTATTGTGATGGAAGCACAATGAGATTTTCAAGTTTAGATAGAAAAAAAGTACATATACTAAAATTATTTAACCTGTTATATATATTACAGTCTGTTTTTATTAGGAACAGTCTTCCTAATACGAATGAATTCAATTACTCGCAAACTACCTCTAATGATTCATTTAATGTTTTATTTAATTAAAGAAGTTTTTATCATTCGATTTAGCAAATATTTCTTTAATTGATAATATAAAGAAAAAATTATCAATTTCTTTAAAAATTGCTTGAAAGGTCTTCGTGTCTCTGAAAAAGCTGTTTCAATTAGGAAAATTGCTTGTAAAATTTAAATTTGATGCCTATTATCTTCCTTTTTTTCTTTGATGATTACAAACTAGCTTATATGTCATTTTATTCACACAATGAATGTCGTCTATTCTGTATTGATGTACTTAAATAATCTAAATATAATTAAAAACGAATGTCATGTCATCTGATAGGCATGTATACAGATTGAAGAAGATCTAATCTTTAATTGTACACTAGCACAGTGAATAAAAAGGTCAACTAATTTGAATTGATAATTTTGAAGAAAAACAACAGTAGTTAAATTAAGAATAAATTATTGTTGAAGACAAAATAAAATACATATCTAGTGTCATTTTTATGAAATGAAATGGACAGATCTAATTCTATGTAAAAAAAACAATGTTTTTAAATTCTACACTAACAATTTATTGTTTATAATATATTTTCTAATTCAAGATTATTTAGTATATTTTTTTATTCAATAAATTTAGAAATACATGATTTAATCTGAATATTCTTGTAACAAATTGCAGAGCAATTATGAAAAATTTTTACAATATCGACAGATTTGTTCCAAGTTTACTTTAATATCGTATTTTCTCAACAGGTATTTGCTTTAGGTAATTTGCAGGTTCAATAATTTTTAGCATCTTCACAAAAGGATTTTTGAAGTTAAAACTTCGAAAGATTCTCTCATTACTCTTAAGTGAACATACAACGAAAATTTCTGAGACTATATTGGAAAAGAACACATAGTATTTCATCTATTTACAATAATTTCAGCTGGCTCAATCAGAACTAACTTTTTTGTCTAGAAAGTTTCACATTATCCATTAGATTCATAATTCTGCAAAAATAAATTGCATCTGGTGTCTACTTAGCAGTCATGTCATTTCTCCATGCAACAAAATTATAAAGTAAGATCTATAAACATCATGAAGTCTTATAAGCATGTCGAGTTTCTTTACTATTTATCTATATCTCAATTATTTGAAAAATTAAAATACAACTTTCAAAAATGAAGTGTTTCTAGATGTGATGACATGTTTATCGAAAGTAGTTCAGTAGTAAAGATCGAAAACAACTTGCAAAGAAGAAATAATGTGAATAAATATTAATATGATAACAAGTTGTACGCAGATATGTTGATATTGAAGCCAAGAAAAAAAAATTCGATAACAGAATGAATGACTTAACATCAAAAAAACTAAGTTACACAGTATTCTGTTATTTGTTTAATCCAATATCTGGACAGCAATCATTTAGTAAAGAAATATCTCATTATGCAACATAAACTTCATCATGGCAAATTTGTTTTTTAGAATTGAAGTTGTCTCTTTTTATGGAGATTAATGTGCAAAAATTGTACATTTTGATTTTTAAGAACGATCCGACCATATTATATTCAGTTAATTTTGTTAAACAAGAGTTCATGATTATCTCTTCTAGGTGTTTTAGTGTTCATATTTTTAAATGGAAACACGATCACCCAGGAAGAAGAATCTCAGACTTGGCTCGCGTCGGATAACTATTATACATAGGTAATTTTCTGTCGAAACTTATCAGATGCTGTATCTGACGATTACCGACAATTGGATCCGATAACTTGGAAATGTCCAATATGCTTAGGATCTAATAGGACCATACAGATTTTACAGAAACACACTAAGTTTTATTTTGCTCTATCCCTTCCTTCCTTATTACCGGTGTGCATTCTCTCTCACTATCAATTGGCTAAAAATTATGCAGCCTAAATGTACCTTGTTGTGCTGATTGTTACATTCAATTATTGAGCGACAAGTCTAAATAACGAAAGTAGATAGTCATTTTTTTTTAAATTACATTTATATTGATATTTTATACGATTGATCTTAATAAATATAAAAATGGGTGATGTGAATGTGTAGGAAATGGATATGGGTGTCTGTGGCGATATCGATGAATATAAGATCAGCATTTACACTGACCTCATACCCGCTTACAACACAAAAAAATGTTGAAACAAAAAAATAAACAGTATGGTCAATGAAAGGTGCCAACTGTTTTATTTATTTAGAAGCATCATGATTATTTGTTTTTCTGGCTTACATATATGTATATATAAAGAGAGAGAGAATAACAGTTAATGAAAGACAGCGCGTAAAAATGTTTGTTTAATCGTTATGCAAAATTCTGACCATAAAATCATAACTACTGATAGTCTCTTGGATATGGTGTATGTTGCCACCATTCTGATTCTGGTAACTCATATGGATCTCTATCACAAACACGTATCATTATACCATAGCAAATGATATTATCGGTTATAAAGTTTTCATTATCTCCTGAATCAATTATCCATTCTATTTCGTCATTAGCGAAATGTTCATCAATACGAATATATTTTGGGCACCTAAGAGTTTGAGATTTGATTTTGTCCGCTGTTAAAACTTCAGGATTTACGCGACATTGAAAAATCATTTGATAATATTTTCCTGGCTTCTGAGAATTTTTCCACGGTTTCGAATAACGGTAATGAGCACAATAAGTAATACTAGGAGATAGATAAACGACCATTTTGTTTTTTAAATGGCACCCTCTGCCGACTCGTAGTCCTGTGGCCAATATGCGGGCTGCATTTGTATGTGCTGTACCATGATATGCCATGCACCAATGTCCCCAACGTCGGTCAAATTCCTCTTTTGTATCAGCAACTTTGATTCCAAAACGACGCCAACCTAGTAATGAAAAAGCACACACGACCATCTCACTGAAGAGCTATTTCTGATCAATATGCAAGAAAAACAAACCTTGGGGACAAAAGTAAGGTTTTCCACCTCGTTTCAAGGGTTTAGTCCAATATGTACCTCCAAAACAATCTCCATAATATCGATTATACCGCTCATTCATTCTTTCTTGTTTTACACCTAAATCGAGTTCTCCTAATGTTATTGAGATAGTGTCAAAACTAGAGGTGTAAGCCGTGCGGCTGAGCCGCCGTCGCCGGCGACAGACTCGAAAAATTTTAAGCCGCCGCCGCCGTGACAGTAGCAATTTTGGAAATTTTTAAGCCGTCGCCGCTGAGACACTTTAATTGCAGCCGCCGCGTCGCCGATGGTATTCAAAATTTTAAAATTTTCGAGCCGCCGCCGCTGGCAACTAGCATAAATAAACGTTTTATTTATATTTTCTTTAATTCGGTACTTTGACATCTTAGAATCCCAATAAATCTCTTCTTCATTATCTTCCTCGTCTTCAACTTCACTTTCGTGCTGGTTCTTTGACCAGTCAGGTGCTTGGGGTTCTAAATTGTAAACAAACCCTTAATTCTGTGTTGGTTGAAAATTCTAAGTTATCATTTCAGTTGTTTATGTCTTTATATTAGATATATTAATAAATACAAGAAGAGACGAGCGTTTAAAATTTTGATTAACAAAAACAAAATAAAAACAACAAACTTGAATACGCTAAGTGCCTTTACTTATTAACAATCGTGGTGGTGATTTTTCATTTATTATTTACCCTAGCAATTATATTTATTTTTAATTTTAGACTTTTTTTTTATTATGTCTAGATGTGAATTAAAGTTTTTCCACATATGTGTTTGAAGATAAAAAGGCCGAGATATTGAAATAGGCCTTGTCTACACTAAAAATTTTGATGGTAAATTAAGAAACATGATTGGTTAAACAGTTAATAAACATTTAAAACACTTTTATAAAGTGCATTAAATTTATTGCGCTATTCAGAACCACATTAAAGTTGATGCACCAATCAAAGTCTGATTGGATTTTTCAATGAGCGATTCCTCTATGATTGAAGTGAACAAAAACTACGACTCATTTCAAAGTCAAGGATTCTGATTGATGCATTAACTGACAAATGTAGACACGAATTGATTTAATACGAATTGAATACTGCATTATCCTCCTCGTGTAGACAAGGTTATAGACTAATTTATTTATGATAACATAGTACTTTTTAAACTTCAAGCCGCCGCCGCTGAGACACTTTAAAATACAGCCGCCGCGCCGCCGATGGTATTCGAAATTTTACAATTTTCGAGCCGCCGCCGCTGTGCAATCTTGGAATATCAAATCTGCGCCGCCGAGCATTTTAAAAAAATTTTAAAAAACTGGCGCCGCCGCCGATCAGCCTATCGGCTTACACCTCTAGTCAAAACCGCCAATGTCAGATATTCCGCCAGCTATTAGTTGTTGAAAAACTTGTTGTCCATATGGTGGATTTACAAAAACATCAACAACAACGCTGCCTCTTCGGATTGCCTCGATTTGAAAAGCATTTTCTGGTATATTGAATTGTTTTTGTATGGTCAGGTTCAAGTTGGGTATGTTGTTGGCAAGATCTTGAATCCACCAATCAAAATTTTCATTAAACCGAATACCAATGAACAATTTGTGAACTTAAATAGGAAAGAAAGTGAAATGTGTCTATTATCCTTTCATATAGAAAAATTATAAAAGATTTTAGAACCTTGCACAAACCTGTTAGATTGTCTACTTGCCGAATGATAACCGGTACGGTAACCGTTTTCCTTAATGATTTAAGCTCTTGATGTTTCTCAGTCAAACGTTTTTCTTCATTTTTCAATTTTTCACAGAATTCATCTGCATTTTGAGAGTTAATAGCTAATTTATTTAAAACACAGGCTAATTCGATTATCTGCGCTTGATCAGTAGCTAGATGGTGTGCTTGTTTTTCTTCGTGTATTTGTTGATATTTTTCAAACTGTTGCCGACGTTCTTCGCTTTGCTTTTCTAACCATCGACGAATTTTCTCTGGGATACTTTCAATATCACTTGATTCCAATACGGATATTATTTCTTTTCGATCTTCTTTTAATTGTTCAGAGTATTGATGTTTAATCAGCTCGGAGTTTTCGATCAAGTCAGATCTCGTTGAGATTGTTGATTGTTGCATTGCATCTAATATTTCTGATGCTTCCATTTCTATTAAATTAGTAGTAGTCTTTTACATATTACCCTTTTGAGAACCAGTGTACTTTATGACGCACTCTTTTCAGAAGTAGTTTTACAGAAAACTATGGAGCCTGATAAATGAGAGATCTCATTATGTTCGTTGTTCTACAATGAATCTGTGCTCTTAGATGTTACCTATGTCATAGGAGAAAACTATCTCCCGATATATTGCTGTATTTGCGTGCTATTCAAAAATCAAGAACGTAACAATATACTTTTTAAATTTAGTGCACTAGTATTCAAAGAGTTATCACGATTCATTTAATATTTACTTGTTTGCAAAGCGAATATTTAATTACTTTACTATGTCAATCGCTCGCTACCATATTTCAACTAACATAGTAGAAGATATTTTAGTATCTACTATAACAGAATTCATAGTACCTTGATCATATTGAATTATTTGCGAGAGTTATAGGACAACATGTATCTGATTTTTTGATTCTTTTTTTTCAACGAATAGTCGATCTCAAATACAAGTAGGGTGTGGATGTGGGTGTGTACGAGGAGAAGACAGCACCCACACCTTCCTGTCTCTCTTCGATTTCATGCTTCCATACATTCTATTACCACTCAGCATTGAAACATGCCATCTCGCATTTATGATAGTTTTCAAGTGGAAAAGAGCAACTTATGCAGTATCACATCGGTGCGAGTATTTTAGTTCAACAGCACCTAATGTTTGTTTTTTCTACCACGATTCCATGCATTCCCAAATAGTCCTAATAATTCATGTTGGTATCGATTACAAGCTTAGCGTAGTTGATGTCGGGATTCATGAAAAGAGAATATCTAAAGCGGAGAAGTAGAAAGCAGGAATTATTTCTTTTACAAATTTTTGATCACCATTTTCATATTAGATTTCACAAAACATTCTATCAATCATACATTGAAAAACGAATTTTTCATAAGAACAAAGGAAAAACCTGCTGGGTACTTCACCAATAATATTTTGGTAGAGTATTGATGGATATAAAGTCGTCGAAAGCTGCGAATCGGTGCTTATCGCTTATTTCTCAATATAGACCATGTTAGCTGTTCCCTCGAAATGATTACTCTTAAATATCCTTCTCGAACGCATTAAATTTACAGCATCACTTGTCAAATCAATCCTATAAGTTTTGTTGCTGTCGGAGTCAAACACGTTGAAAGACTTTGTTCTATCACGTAGTGTTCTACCTGATAGACCTTTACGAATACGAATAAAGAGCGTAGTCATTGTACCGTTGTGTCTCGAAAAGAAAAATGTCTATAAGTCGAGTTCTACTCAATCAATTGGGGATAACATTTTTCATCTGCTTTCCTGATCTAAAAAGGATCATTCGATTCTCGAAAAATCAAATTTCTATCTACTTGAGATTTTGAGAAATCATGACAACAAATCCAGTACCTAGCTTCTAAATTTATCTACCACAAGTCAACCGACATTTTTTTCTTTGTTATTTCATTACGTTTTTTTTGAAATTACGTTTTCAGAATATGTCGTTGGTTTCAGCTTTAGGCGAAGTTTTACGAACAAGAAATTATCTATAATCGAGGTCGACAAAATCTCATTTTTGTGTCGTGTGACAATAATGTTAATGGCGTTTCGCTTGAGGAAACTCCATTTGAACAAAGTTGGTTGGAAATCAAAGAGTAAATAGGAGAAAATAATTTGAGAAGTAAAAAGGTTTGTTTCATACAACTTGCTAAGACAAAAATTTGGTACATAATGAAAAAGATAATTTTGAAGCTGAATACAGGACGAATTTTTAAGTTTTGTTATTGCTATAACTCAATGAAAACTGAACTGTTTGACAACAAAATGTTGTGCTTTTTCCGGTTCATAGAATGGAACGATATCCCAAAAAAATCAAACGAGATCTTTCTCCATTCGGAAGAAAATTTAGTTTTACTAACATAGTGTAGAGCAACATTTTTGAAGTAACATATAAATGCAAAAGTAACCAAACAAATGTCAGTGCCTATTTCTCTTTGATAGAAGAGTGTTGAAAGACAAGTTTTCGTATTAGAAGATGGAGAATGTTTCTCTCTTTTCAAGCGCATATAACTTGTTTTTATAACAGGTTGATAACAGAATAGAGATGAATCCTTAAACAGAATCCACACTTTTCTATGAGAAGACTGTACAAAATGTCGATCCTCATATCTCTTCGATAAATGGATTCTGAAAAGAATATTTTTTTATCAGTTAATAGGAATATTTTCTTCTCTTTCGAGAAGTGTAGGATTCATATTTGCCACATATTAGTGAGTGAAACGAGACGAGAAAAAAACAGAAATATGTGCACAATAAATTAACAATTTTTATGTGAATTCGTTAAAAATATCTTGTAAATAATAGTTAACCACAACGACCGCATACAATTCGAAATAAAAACCCCTTGACAAATTCTTTTCAATGAATCCGTAAAGATGGAATTAATTGGCATTTAATAAGATGTTTTTGATGGGTTCATATAAACATTATCTGAAAGAGGAAAAAGTTTCCTATCAACTACTAGTCAGGGAAAATTCATTTCAAAACGTATTTTGCCAACAAGTTATAGGAAACAACATTTTGCACCGTTTTTCTGAACTTCACAAAAAATGTGGTGTTTTTTTAAATATACTCCTCTTTTCTTTGGCGTTCTTTCGTCCAAGAATTTGTTATAAAAATAAAATTTATGTGATTCGAAAGAGAAAAAAATTTTCTATCTTCTGCTGAAAAAACCTTTTTTCCAGTACCCTACTATCGAAGAGAAATAACTTCTGATATTTGTCCCATTACTTTTGCATCATATGTTATTTATCCACTAAGACTGATTGGTATATAAAAATAGCATACAGAAACAGCTCCAACACAGGAAAGTATTGAAAAAATATTATTTTTATACATAAGCGACATTGCTCCATAAAATACAACACTTATTTTTGTTTGATTATTAAATTTATTTTCATTGATATTTTTCCTCTAACAGTATAAAAGCTGTGTTGCTCATTCACACATCGATAGTGACACCGATATTTTTCCATAATGACTCATTTTGTTTCATTCCCATCCTAGCTATTGTTTTGCATACGACACCACAAGTATCTATCGGATATTCTCATGCAGTCTGACTGAGTCATGTCACCTATACTGTTCTCTTTTCTACTTTCTTTTTTTCCTTTCATGTTAGTATTTGAAATGGGACAATAATTGTAAACCGCTGAGTAATAACTATATATACAACGCAAAAAAGCACAATGCATTCATTCTTCTAACTGATCACGAGTGAAACAACAACAATAACAAACACGTTGGTCGTACCAATGACAGCTGTAAAAACTCCTGTTGTTCGCTTTAATGTTAATCAACAATGTCCTATTCAGTATGTTACTGTCTACGATGATCGTGCAGAAGTGACACGAATTCTACGACATCATTTCGATGTTGAAGGAACATATGACCTTGTGCTCGATGGTTTTTCAATATTTGTGAATGAAACATCGATGCATGTCAGTGGTGGAACGGGAAAAGCATGCACTATTCTCGAAGTCTCGCATCAAATACGACATGAAGATATCGCTCCGTCATCGGATTTGACATCTCTTGATAATCTTCAAAGTCAACTTGAAAACGTGGAAACTGACCTAAAGATGCATCAGCGGGAATTAACACGGCTCACAAAACAACGCGAATGGCTTGATGGACGTTCGACCAAATTAATGAACCAAGATGGACCTTGCACAACCAATGATATGGAAAATATACGGCAATTTCTGGAGTTCTATCACAATACACTATTGAAACTCGATGATGATACAGTTCGCGAAGAAGAGGAAATGAAGAAATTGAAATCTCGTCAAGAAGCTTTGAAAACTCAAATTGATCACCATGGTGCTGCAGCCCAAGCGAGTCGAAGAAAGATATATCCAGAAGTGACGATCACAGTTCATATCACCAGTGGTGAACTTGATGTGGCACTCGAAGTTTCCTATTTGATCAGCAACTGTTCTTGGAGTGCCAGTTACGACCTTCGTGTCAGTAGTGCTGAAGCAAATCAACAGCAAACACAGTTAACGTATTATGGAATTATTGTAAGTATTCGAATTTCCATTGAATTTCAAAAATGTGTCATGAATCTTGCTGATGTTTAGGTGAATAAAAGTCAAGAGAATTGGCTTGATGCAAATTTCTCGTTGTCAACTGCAAAACCATCTTTGGGTGGAACTCCACCAAAATTGAACACACTGAAAATTGATTATTACAAACCACTGGTCATTGATTCTAAGCAGATTCCGAAAACAGAATTAATTGATTCGATCGCTAGCACGACTTCAAAATTTGCAGGTATTCATGAGAGTACGCCTAAAGACCGCTGGAAAGATGCATTCAGGTCATTTCGAACTAAATCACCGCTCTCGTATGATCCGACTATTGAAGATAAAGATGCAGAATTCGATGAAACGAAAGTCAATATTCTCGCCTCTAAAACCGAAGCTAGTATGTCCAGTACCAGCTTTGTTATACCTCGTCGATCAACTATCGATTCCGATGTAAGTATTTCATCCAGCAATGTCGAATATTTTTGTATTTTTTTATCGTTACTAGGGGAAACCACACAAGGTCACGATTGGTATTCTAGATCTTCCTTCAACATATACGTATACGGTTGTGCCGAAAATATCACCTCATGCATACCTGAAAGCGTCAACAGTGAACACTTCCGATAAACAACTTCTTGCTGGACCTGTATCTGTGTTTATGGATAATAATTTTGTCACACACAGCTCGATCGATAATGTTTGTGTTGGTGATACATTTGACCTTCCTTTGGGCACAGATGTCAATGTTAAAGTGGAATACAAACCGGTGAAGAAAATGGTTGACACACAAGGTCTCATCTCGAAAGTACATCACGAGATGCGTCATCATGAGACAAAGATTGTGAACATGAAATCAACCGAGATCACGGTGTTCGTCTACGAACAAGTACCTCTATCTTCGGATGAAAAGATCAAAGTGAAGTTGATCACACCTGATCTACGACAAAAGGATTACGCTCGAAATTGCACGGTAACAATGAACGACAGAAATAATTTGGAATGGAAATGTGTATTACAACCGCATGAAGAATTTCAATACCCATTAGAGTATACACTCGAGTGGCCGAAAGATAAACGTGTCGAATTGCAAGAAGAGTAGTAGTGAACTTCTTAGTTCATACATTTTGATACAACAGCATTCAATTCTCGATTGATGTTGTAAACAAATTAATTCATCAAAATAAATCTCCATAATCAGTTCTCATTTCAAGAGATGTTTGCTACTACACTCTATTGGACATTATGAAATCGAAGTTGTTCTAGAGCTATTAGGCCATAATGATCTGAGACATGTTTAGCCGCTGTAAATATTTAAAACATATTATGTATCTATTTCTACAAAAATGTAGTTGAAATTTTCCTTATAAGATGAGAATACTACAATATTGCCGCCAATAGCAGTAACAAAATTTTCACCAGGACATAACTAATAAGTATGTTAGCTCGCTTCGACGAGCTTAACTTTGTTTATTTATTTCATATGTTAAATCTCTTCAAAAATGTCCTTAAATCACTAGGCATATATACAACCATAGAGAGAAGGAGAAGAACAAGAGAGAAAGAAGGAGAAACAACAATAACAATAACAATAACAATACAGTAGAACGAAGAAGGGAGAGAGAAAGAGATAGAGAATCGAGGTTAGCAGAATGTGAGTCACCGTTAACAAAGTACAAGAATAAAAACTATTGTGTTAAATCATGTTAGCATTTTTGTTCTTCATAGGTTTACCATACGCAATAGCAATAACAAACAAACTATGAAAAATTTCATAACTTTATAAAATACAGCACATTTTTTTAATAAACATGTTGTAGCTATTGACGATTAAGAGCTGCATTAAGCACCATATGCCTATATATATCGTATTTTGTGATTGGAATCAATAAATTAAAGCAACTTCCTTGAATATCAAATAAATACGATAGAAACTTGACGTACTATTTTTAAATTTTTGTACATTTATGTAAAAACAACATATGTTATTTGAGTCAAAATATTGAAACATGCCATCAGTGTGCACTTGTACTGTTAAAATTCAATCAAATTTGTTTTTGTGAACTTCACAAATTTTTTAACATAATTTCCACATAGTATATTGCCTGAATTTACAAATCAATAAATAGTATGATCAAGAAGTAAATCTTGCATAAAATATCTAATTTTATTTTATCAGAATCACGAAGTTTTCTAATGAAGTTTCTTCGTGATAATAATAGAGCAAGTGAAGTAGCTATAAATATTTGTTACCAAAAAACGTGCAGCATAATATTTTTTATTAAATTGTAAACATTTTGTACATATGTTTTCTTTACAAAATGAGCAGCAAGTAGAACATACAAAACAATGTTCAAAAGTAAGAGGATAAAGAGCTTTAGCAATCGAATGCATTATTTTTGGAATTTTCTATATAGATAAATGATGAAACCTACTATCATAAACTTTTTAATATTGAAGAGTATTTTTTTTAATAATTTCTATGTCATCATATTTCGAAATTGTAATAACCCTATTGCAATGCATAATCTAATAAAATCATCTTATTAAAATAAAAAAAAAAAAAACAAAATATTTAATTCTTTATTTTATAATAAAATAAAGCTTTAATAACTGTATTATTATTTTTTTTTTCGAAATGATAACGTTCTATTGTATGTTCCATTTCTTCATTTAACACAATATGATCTGATCATTGATCAAAACTAATAATATTTGTGCAATTAGTACGTTCTTCATTATAGTAAACCATGAAGAAAAAAATAAAAAGAATAAGCAATATACAAAATGACCACAAATAGCACTATGACAAAGAAAGTCATCTAATCAAGTTAATAAGCAGCTTCTGAGTCAAGATCATATGTATTATGTATATCCAAATAACTTTTGAATAACGTGGAAAGAGTGCATACCCTTAATATATTGCTGCAGATATAAGGTACTCTTTTTTTTTTGAATTTTTTTATTGAATGCAGTGATCCCTCTCATGAACACCAGAATAATTGATTTTCGAATTCTGACTTGAAACTTGACATACGGAAAACCCTTTACGAAAATGGGTGTTAGTGAACGTTTCAGATTTTGTCATTATCGGTATTATAAGATACAACTCTGATAATAGCGTATCTTATACATTTCTCATATGAACCGGCAGATTTGATGTTCTTATTTCAGGATAGAGACATATTCAAAGGTCTAAAACTTACACAATAAACTATTCTCGTTGAGGTCTGTCATTGGGAAAGGTTTTTCATTTTCTATTGATTAAAGGAATAACTTTATTAAGCAATATTAACAGATAATACTGATATAACGTATGTTTTACTTTGACCATATGTATTGGATTTTGCTCGTTTCTCTGAACGTTCACTGGTAATTGATCTTCATATCTAAAAATGGTTTGTTTCATTATCTCATCATTATAATGTAGATCAGTACTCAAAGATCTTCGCTACCTTGCATATCATTTGGATTTATAGTTGCAACTGATGCTTTTGGATTTGAGTCATGAAATGGAATACTACTTCCAGAGCTGCTATATGGAAAAAAAAGAGTTTGATATTAAATTCGTGAACCAAAAGCTAATGATTATGTATGTAATGTAATTTACAGTATTTTACTGACAAGGAAAGTTATTTTAAACGATTAAAATTCGTTGATGACACTGAAAAAAATCAATTGTAAATTTTGAAACATAACATAATTTATATAATTTTCGGGATTGAGAATTGAAATTATTCTTTAAAAGAAAATACGATAATACAGTTTGTATACGAATATGTCAACACAATGAAATACTTATTAGTGGTACTTATTCCAATAAAGAAAAGTCAAATATCATGATGCAGTCGTTTTTAGTACAGGTTTATAATGGCGGATACATAAACTATTTTATGTTGATTTGATTTAATTTTCTACACACAATAGTAAGTTAATTATAAAGCAAGCGAGATTACAAACGACAATATTTATTTATTTAAAGTAATAATTTGAAAGAGAAATTCGATGTCTTTTCTTTATGTAATATTCAATAATATTTTGCTGTATAGACATCATCTTCAAAATATGGACAAGCAATATTTTCTTCAGATACCATCATTTTGTTTTCATTATTGAATAAAAAAATAGATATCAGATAAAACCTATATGAAACTATTAGTTAAGGTTTCTTTTAGAGTTTACGAAAGAACACACGTAAGAGGCTTAACGATATCGTTAGAAAATGCTAAAGTGATATTTGAGAAACGTTGGAAGTCGCTTCAAGTTCAACATAAATTTAAGTGGTTAACACCGTTGCAGTTCAAAAAATCTTAAAAAATGTTTTGAGAGTGTATAATGAAGTAAACCTAATTAGATTTAGTGAGAATTTAGTGAAGTAACGTGTATTAACTTCATCAGCAATTTAAATATCAGGAAGTTGATTTTTTTTCTATATGGTAACTCTGTATAATATTTGTTTTTTATAAAGTATCAAATTTCTTGACTACAAAAATAAAAATAATCTGTCATTTTTTTATTCAAATACTTATTGTGTACTCAAAAAGTGAGTACACTCTAGAATCGGTCAGTATGTCCGTCCGGCCGTTAACACGATAACTTTCGAAAGGAGAGTCAGATCATGATGAAATTTTCTACACAGTTTAGTCTCATCAATGTCTCGATCGAGTTCGAAGATGAGAAGGATCCGTCAAGAAATGGCTGAGTTATCGAAAAAATTGTCATTATTGACTAGACCATCCCTGAGGAGGGGTACAGGGATTTTTTCAAAAAAAAAAAAAAATTTTCTCAGAATTATTCACAACATATATAAATCGACTCAGTTTTTAACGCTGATTCCGAATCTGATATTAGTTTTGAACGAAATCGTAGCTTTCTAGCCTGAAAAAGGTCTCAAAATGCACAAAAATTGCATCCAGAAAGTAAATTGCCTAGATATCTCTCAGATGATAAAAAACAAAGTGAATATACCTGTTCACTTTTTTGAAGTACACATAACACTCGGATTTAAATCCGAGGTTTTCGCATTTTATTTTTTTATATGTCCTCAAAAATAG